TGTGTCTCATTCCATCTTCATTTTTATTTTTAGCAACATGTCACTCTGTGTTATCTCAATTAAAAGGTTTCGAATCTTAGTAGGTTAAAGAATTGTAATAGTTTTGTCTGCTATGTCCCTTTGTATTATCCTGCTTAAAGGTTCCATGTTTTTAGTAGGTTAAAATATGCAATAGTTTTAGTTGTTATTTTTGTATTTATAACAGCCCGTTGAACTCAAAAAAGAAAAAGAACCGATGGGTCTTATTTTATCTTCATTTTTATCCTTAACAACATGTCCATCTTCATTTTTATTCTTAACAATGTCACTCTGTATTATCTCACTTAAAAAGTTGTGAGTCTTTGGTAGGTTAAAAAATTGTAATGATTTTGTATGCTATTTTAGTATTTTTGACACCTCGTTAAATCAAAAAAAAAAAAGAACCAGCTGTTAATCCATCTTCATTTTTCACTTTTAATAGTATGTGACTTAGCATATTCCGTGTACCACAAAAATTATTGATGGTTGGTTTAATTGACGTGTCTTTTAGAAAAAATTCTTTTAATATAAGGAGATTTGATTCAATCATAATAATTGCTAATCAATCCAAACTGTATAAAAACTTTACTTATTTCCATAATAAGTCAACACATAAATAATTTTCAATGGAAGCAATAAAACCATTCTATTCAAATGCTAAATTGAAAACCCTAGTCAAGTATAACATGTTCAAGGAGATAAAATAAAATATTTCTTTGGAGGCACAGCACCGCTTAATCCAAGGGCTTAAACGGATTCCATAAATTGTTCTTGCAGATCCTAAGCTATGAGGTTCAAGCTATCAAGGAAAAAATAATAGGTATACAAAACATGTACCGACAGAAAAATTATTTTAATAAATTAAGGATAAAAGAAAACTGACGGATTCTACAAATTGTTCTTGCACGTTCGAGCTGTCAAGGGAAAAAAAAATAAGTATACAAAACATGTGTCATTAGAAAAATGATTTTAATAAATTAAGGATAAAAGAAAACGAATGAAAAAAAATAATCATTTACAACAATTGCCTAAAACAAAAATTCTTAAGCATGATACGCCACAAACCCGCTATCCCTGTATATAGTCGCCCGATGATTACATAGAAACACCAATCACCAAGTTTAGCTGTGTCCTAACCAAGTGCGCGATTGATACCATATAAAAAATCATAAAGAGGAAGAATATAATTAAAATTATAGTCAAACCAAATCTCGTTGTGGTAGGTGGCCTACATGTTCAGTTGAAATTTTTTTCTGGAAAAACGAAAACGCAGGGGAGGGGGTGAGAGTAGTAATTAAGCTAGCAAGCATCACATTTTTTCCTTCTCTTGAAAATAAAGAAGTAAATCGAATTACCAAGCAAAAATCATTACAACAATCTCAAATTAATAACCAAATCGAAAATAAAAATTCAGGAACTTGAAAGCAATACTCATAACCAAAGTTACAAAATTCATAACAATAATCTCACATTCTGATCTTGGGTGGCAGAATGGGATTGATCATGAGGTACACTGAGTTCAGTAGTCATAATCGGAATCTTCAATCCAAGCTAAATCAAAGAAAAAAAGAAGCAAAATAAAAGGGAAATCAGCTTAAACCTACATAGAGATCATATTTATCCATTTCTCAAGAAGGAAATAATATGTTGAAAGCCTCTGAGGATTTCATTTTACCCGCTGTACGTATCCCGCGCCACGGCTCCACACTGTAAATCACCAACAGAAACTAAATGCCTAAATCCTCCCGAATGTATACAAAGTATGAGTATTATATGGTTTGTGAATAAAATTATTATAGCATGATTATGCAAAACTAAAAATGAATAAAAACATACAACTACTATAAGAATATAAAAGTTTTTCCAACTAGTATTTATGTTGCTAAGTTGCTTGGCATGATAACCACGGAAAGGAAAAGAAAACAATGATAATGAAAATGAAGGAATTTATAATCAACCCAAAATTACTTAAATGTCAATAAATTTTATGTATAAAAAAAATTTACAATATTTTAAAAGTAGTACCTAGGATAATATGTGAGTAGGTCTACTGGAGAAGAAGATATTACTAAGGTTAGAGGAAATTTCACGAGTTTATGTTTTTTCTACTCGACAACTTAAATTTTGAAAGGTCTCCAACAACCCACAATAAATGATGTTTAAAACTCTGTTAGTAAACTCCCCCAACAGTTAGCTACAAAGGTAATTCTTTTCAAATCAATACTAACTTAGCTACACCTAGAAAGATTAAAATTGCATTGTCCCAAAGCTAACTTCTTGTATGACCTTGATTTTGATATTATACATTATTCATAGCCATCCTTTGAATTTCCATGCTTTGTCAATTGTCTTACATCATATTTTCTGTACTATAAGGAAAAGTCTTCAGACAGTAAATAAACTACTCCCTCTATCCCATAATTATTGTCCAATTTGAGTTTACATTTCTAGTTCATTTACTGGACAATAATTATGGGACAGAGGGAGTTAATGAAAAGGAATAAGGCCGCCAGTTGTGTTCCGACGGAAATTAATGGAAGTAGGAAAATGAAAGAAGGGGGGGAGAAGTGGGATACCACAGAATTTTTGCGCGAGATATTAGGGAAGAGGAAGAACGAGTTTGTCTTTTTTTCATTGGGAGGGCGGTTGAAAAGTAAATGAAAAATTGCACTAGATCCTAAAAATTGTTGTGCCAAAATCATTAGCCTTGTACTTTATGTCACCAAAATTTTCTAAAAATATAATAAATAAATAAAAACTTAAATATTTATTTTGACCAATGAGTGTCATTATAGATGTAAAATTCGTGGTCAAATACGTAATACTATAATACTCACAAAAAAAAATATATTGAACAAAATAAAATTTCAAATTTATTATGGGTAAAAAAATAAATTTGTTTGGAAAATATAACTAAAGTCAAGAAGAAGATTCTAACAAAAAAAAAAAAGAAGAAGAAGAAGGTGATTTTGTGAGATCTGATTCTGAATGAGTTTAATCTCCCGTGGAAGATTGATCTATCTATAATCTATCTATAATAATAACCCTCATTATAACAAAAATCATTTTTTTCTCAAAAAATCCAAGTATCCTTATTTCTTTAAAAGTCTCCCCACCTAAATCAAAAAAATAAAAATATACAAAAAATAAATAAATAAAAATAAGAGAATTATTTTTTTTCTTAATTCCGGATCTAAACGATATTGTGTTTTCTCCCATTTTTTTTTTCCGAAACTCATATTGATCTTATAAATCATCCCATGGTTTATCAATCTAATCCAAGTGGCCGATTTAATTTAATAACATGGCCTTACTTAACTGGGATACTAAATTGCTTCATGGATATGTTCTGGATGGGTTTTCTCTTTCATATAAGAAATTTCTTTTTAACGTTTTCATTCTTTTTTTAAAAAAATAAATTTAACCCCAATATTTACATTACTGTAATTCAATAATTCATTCATTTATTTTTGTGATCTTTTACCCCAATGACTTCAGGAGCTTCGAGTTTCAAATGAATCACAATTCTTTCACACATGAGACTTCCAAACAGTTTCCTATAAAACTGAAACTGCCACTTTAAGATCTCACGTTCTCTGTCATTTTCTTTTTATATCGATTTTGTTTATTTTCCAAAACAAACTCTCAGTTTTTTGTGCGAGTCTTAACCCATTATATTTTCGATAGTACATATCCTTCCTTCATGTGATGCTCTCTTAAATTGATGGATGAGGATGTAAACTTTACACGTTCTTCTTTCTTTGTTAGATATATCAGCGCTCAATTTTATCTTCTTTTTCTTTTTTTATTTTTTGATTGGTTTGTTACATGTAGTTTTTGTTTTTTTTTTTTTGAAGAAGTGTTACCGGTAGTTACCAATCGAAGAGAACTTTGAAGGTCAGACTATTTAGAGCATTAATTTGCGTTATTTTTGAAAAGAATCATTTTTTTTCAATGAAATTGAAAGAAGATGGTTGATTCTGTTTTTGACAAAGGAGAAAACTTGATATGAGATTCATATAATTTTCTTTTTTCTTAATTATCTCTTTGTATTCATATTTTTGGTGTAATATCTCATGTTTTAGTCGTTCCAAAAGAAAATTCAAACTTCAACGACGTATTTTATCTTTTTACATCTTCATGATAGATTTGTGGACTTTGTTGAAAAAAAAGACAGATTTGTGGATAATGTAAAAAATAAGCTTTGTGACGAAAAGTGGAGGATCAGTTGTTTTACTTATGGAGAAAAACAATATCAAATTGTAACTGTTAGGTATTTCATCTACAGCATATATATATATTATTTCGTTCCATGGCTGATGCTAATTTTTTCAAATCCACTTCCCTATGAATCCTTTTTCTGTGCATGTCTTTATTAATTTTTGTAGGTAGATTTATATATATACAACATTTAGAAGGTGGTCATGAGTCTTGATCCTAACAAGATGGTTCCTTTGGTTTTGCTTGCAGCTGATTAGTCAGGGAAGTAGATCAAACAGCATAAATGCAACTTATGTTTACACAGCTCCATATCTTCCCTTCCTTCACCCCCTCTTATTCAGGAAAAAAAAAACTCTAATAATATTCATCTCGATTCCTAGTCTTTCATTTTGCAGATTGGCAAAAGTTTTTGTCCTAGACAAAGATGTTGTCAACAAAGGCGATCGAGGAAAAGCACCTGTTGGTTTCAACCGCAATTGCCAAACTTATGTAGGGAGTTTCGAATATGTACACTAGATATTTGATTTCAAATACACAATTGTAGTGATCACCTTATATTTGGTCCAAAATGTTATGATTGAAACTTTATGTTGTCAAATTATGTTCTATTAAAAAAAACAAGATTTGTCATTTCATTTCATTATGTTTTCTTGTGTTGTTTTTTGGGACAGAGATAAAACCACATCTTAATAACATTTTTAATATATACTTTCTATGATTGTACTACTTTTATCTTTTGATTTTTAACTTTTTCAATGCTTATCACAGTTAAATTTCATTCCCCTCCATTCAACATTCATTAGATATGAACAAAAAAGTAAAATTTCAAAAGCAAACCCGTGCAGTCACACGGGTCCATAGCCTAGTTTGAATTATATATATCAAAATTAAACACAAAAATCCCTATTTTTACTCCCTAAAACTAATTTTCTATTTTCCCTCTCCTATTTTTCCTCCAGCCGCGCGTATAAGCAAACAGATTATAAACCATGGTCTACTATATAAGAACTAACAATTTACATGTCAAACTACTTTTTGTCCTAATATACATAGAAATTTGAGTACAACTGATATAACATTATTTCCGAAGTCTATCAAAACAAATTCTAATCAAATGTATGATGTGTAACTTAAACAGTATAAGGATGCCTGTATCTTTTGGAAATTAAGCCATGTCAAGACAGACAAACATCACCGTTTCTTTTCCAATTTAGGCTGGAACTATTCAGGTTTGAAGATCAAATGAAACAATCGGTTGCAGCATTGTATACCAGAGACTTTGTTCCAGATTGAGGGGTTTTGTTATGAATGTTCCTTGAAACTTGAAAGCATTAGTGCTGGCCACTCCTGAAAAATTTTCCAAAATCAATGGAGAAAGATAGTAAAACTTGAAATGAGATTTCTACCAGACAATTTGTTCATGTTAAATACATCCGTCTTCTAAATCATGAAAAGATGGAAACCAGCAAAGGTTACAAATGATTAACCACAGGACTTCAGTGTTTTTTCAAAGGGATTGATGTATGACAGATAAAAGACAGAATTAATCTCATTTCAGCTCTGTGTAAATGATTTGTGTTCAGCAAGTTACATTATCAGGAAATGGTAAAATGTGTGATAGAAAAGTAGTTGACATGGTGAACTTTAGAATGACTAATGGATTGGTCGATATATAAATAATGACAATCAGTTTAATTATGTCCAAAGACCTGCAAAACTTATCGAATAAACAAACATTGAACTATAAATTCGACAGTTAGCTTTTCGCCCACTAAACCTGTAGTTTGGATATCTCAAAGCACTGAGGTAAATTAGAAGGTATGAAGAAACCTTAAAAAGGCTTGAATCATTTGAGATGCTTGACATGCATGAAGCAACAATAGCACTAATCTCATAGGAAAGAGTTGAGGCCTGACCTTAATATCGACGCATGAATGCCATTTACAGCTCCCCTTGCAGAACTAGTGCGCCGCAGCCTTTGATCTTGATCCTTCCCCATATACATAGCTGCAATTTCCTTTTCCAAGGCAGCTACTTCTCGACGCATCTTTTTGGACTCAACTTCCATAGCTTTGTTTAGTGTTTCAACCTTCTTTCCCAGTATCTAAATTTTGTCACACCCAAAAATCAATCAGTCAGATACGTTTAAGAGAGAGAAAACTGACACTTTAGGTCGGTGTATAAGGACTGTGTCAAACCTCAATTGCTTCGTCCTTTTCCTTAAGGCTATGATCTTTGCCTTGACAAGCTTTCCTCAGGGTTATAACCTCTTTCTGCAGCATGTCATACAACATTCCTGATACATAATCTTCGTTTCCCAGCTTTATGGTATCAGTAGCATTTAAATTATCGCCGCCACAGACACTTGCAGTTAGTGTTTGGTTGTTAAGGGCCTCATTATCAGAATTGCTAAATTCATTTTCATAGGTTCTTATGTTTTCTCCATCTAGAGATCTGCTTCGGCTGTTGAGTATTGAAGATGACTTATTCAACTTCTCCAATATTGCAGAAGAACCATTTGTCCGATATGACTTAGACTGGATTCTTGCAGTTTTTGATGAAATACCATTGGCCATGGGTCTCGACAAATTGTCTCCTCCTAAAGAATGGCATTGGGAAGTTCCATCACACTTGTTTCCCCCTTGTGACGAAGATCTAAGTCTCCCTTCCAAAACTTTAAATCGCAGTTGAAACTTCTCCTGAGAAACCAATAATTGCCAGGTTATCCACATTACTCAACAGGAAGCTAAAAGCAAATGTAGCTGACAGAAAGACCAGACTAAGGTGAGAACAGCTTCAAAGTTTAAAGAAGCATCCACTTCTCACTTTCAATTGTGCTTCTGCTTTTGCGGCCCGCTCAGCAATTGTGAGTTTGTCTTTAAGCTGTTGGATTTCTCCCTATTGAAAAGTTGCAAAATTCATCAGATGAATTCCAGACTTGATATATGCTTTCTACCAAAGAATGATATAATGATAAATGGATGAATGCATCACAACCATTTGCGGAATACTGATCCTTGTGGTTGTCACTGTAACTTGTACCATAACTTATTTCTTGCACTAAACACAGTAACACTTAAACAACAACAACATACCCAGTATATTCCCAATATACACAGTAACACTTAAAGAGGATTCAAAATTTACTGTTATCCAATATAAGCTCCAGATTGCAAAACGTAACTTTTATTGAACTGGTAAACTTTGTTATTCATTGAAAACCCTCTCTGCATCTTCACTTGTTTCAGTTTTTCGTATCGATAAAAATTTAGCACATCTGTAAAAGTATTCTTGGTAGAAAATAAGATGGATATAGCTAAAACATGCCTGAAAAATTCTTCTTTCTTCAAGCCACTGCTTTACAGGCATTACTTTGTCATTTGCATCTTTCCAGTCGTTAGCAACAACAACAGCAACCCGATTAGCTGAAATCTTTGCACGAGCAAGCTCCCGGTCCACCGTCCTCTTCTCTTCCTGTTAATATACCTGACGTTAGCAATGATGGAGAAGCAGGTAAAGGTAATTATTCGACTACAGTTTTGGAGTTAGACATTTACATTCATTTCTTGCACTTTCCGTTGGTAATCACGAACTGCATTGGCAGCAGCACCACCAACTAAAACAGCCTCCTCAAGTTCATGAATAGTTTGTGTTAATTTTTCAACCTCAGCAACTTTTTGCCTATGCATCTTGTCCAATATTCTGTTCTCTTCCTGAAGATGGGAAACTATTGATCATTTGAATCTGTACATACTACAACTATAACACGCCTGCGCCTATCCACAAAAAGAGCTTGCAAGGTAGTCGAACCTGACATATCTCTACTTGTTTCATTAAATCTTGGTTCCTGTTCTGAAGTTCATCAACCAAGGAAGCTTTGGCCAATGCTACTTGAACAGCACGCTCAGCCTCAAGGAGAGCAGCCTCTTTTGATTTAGTTAGTCGATCCAGTGCCCTATTGTCATCCTGTAGCTTTATAACCTGGAAAAAGAAAATGTAGAGAATCGGGAAGAACCTTTGAGGCTTCAAACAATAAAGCACATCCTAACCACAAAAGGTGAGTTCAAACCAGCAAGTCTTTTATCTACCTCTATCCTGGCCAACTTTAATTCAGCCTCCAAAGGTGCGATGATCGCCTCAATAGGAGGAATTTCATCATCTTTTTGAGCTGCATGGACTCGTCGTAGGCTAGATTCAGCAGCAAACTGGGCAGCTACAGCTGCTTTTTTATCTTCATCAATCTTCTTTATCTCTAAGTTCTGAGATTCATACATCAGGAGATACAGTCTAAGCTACCTATTGATGGATTTACTGACAAGAAAAGGAAACAGTAAAATCCTAAAGCATGCCAACCTTAGTTTCCACATGAGCTTCAGTAGCTTTTAGTTTCTCCTCCGCTTTCTTCAAATTCTCTGCTAGCTTTTGAAACAAGAAGAAATATGTTAAGCTGTCTTTCCAATTTAGGAAAAGAAACTTATTAATCATAATTCCTCGGATTATGAAGAAAGAAAGAGATACTGACATAATTAATGTCGATGATAGAAACTCTTTTATCTTCCGCAAATACATAATGTGATTAGCTTTATCAAGCACAAGAAACATTTTAAGTTCAACATGGCTGGTTTACCTCCTCAACAGCTTTCTCTTTTAGGCGTTCAGTATACTTCAGGGCCTTGATCTCTGCATGTGCATCTCCAAGCTCCCGCTCCTTATCTGTGGGTGCAATAAACAATAATTTCAGGTAAAAATCTTATCTTTAGTTCTTAATTTGCTAAAGTTCCCTCAACAGAGATATGTTAGATGCATATAAGTCTTATTTCCTTTTCAAAAATCTCAGAATTCTGGTTAGTTGCATCAGTCATTTTGTTCTTTCAAACCCCTTTCCAGAAATATTAGTTGAACTCCACCAAAAAGGTAGAAAATTACAAACATACAGTCTTAAGGTTATGCCATGCACTGGAAATGAATTGGCTAATCATCTCCTATCTACATGCAAAGCGCTTAGGTGGACGCTAGAGAGCTCTGATCTAGAAGCCAGAAATCTTCTTGAAATCCTTTTTCTTTACCACAATAAATCCACAGTAGAAACATTAAAGACCTTCCCCCACTGACGGCAAATATCAGATCTAAAACAGATGCGTAATGTTCATTCCATGCATCATAACCCTCTTGAGATATCTGATGGTAACTTAACTGCCATGTTTTTTCAACCTTCATAAAAGAACCAATCATGTAGCCAGTTGAAACAGAATTTTTACTACTAACAACACTTTTGCATCAAGTGAGTCCATTCTGATCAGAATGTAAGTGAAAATCTGATTATGGCAGGGTAGTACAAATCAATACAAGATGTCCCAATAAATCAGAACACTTGAACTAAAGACAAAAAAATAGGCTAAATTTAACTCAGATCTTTTATTCACGACTTATATAGCTTTGTCCAATTCATCGCAGTTAACAGTACAATATATTTCAAATGAAATAACAGGACCTCAAATGATGGATAATTCACAGCCTCACAGGACGCGTCAAGCTTGACAATTACAAAACAAACGGTGTCTTATTTATCGTCCCTTCATTTTCCCCTTTTTTGCTTTGAGCATGATCTAGAGAAGACAAGTTTTAGGACAATGGACCACTAAAGCTGGCTGCAATGTGACTTCTCCTTATAATAATTCACAGGCTACCAAAGCTTGTCTTTTCAAAGATTTTCTCTCAATCCCACCTCACAAAAAACAACATCAAACTGCAATCATCTTCTTAATCCAAGCATTTCCCACTTGCATCATCTCAAATTCTCAATCATCATTGCAAAAACTCTGATCAGACCTCTAACAAAGAAACTAACCAAAGTGGGATAATATCTTTGAGCTATCATATTCAACAACAAAATGCAAAAGAAAGCTTTTGAATTTTCTAAAACTCAAAGAAGATATTCTTTTTTGAAATTTTCTTTCTTGTTAAAGTGGCACATTCACAAACAACCAAAACAAATCTTCCTCTTAGAACATTGAACAGATTCAATTTTAGTACTCTAAACAGTAGTTTTCTTTCAGATCAAATCTAATTTTAGCCTAATTGATTATAACTCAAAATCAACCCAATGCATTCCTCCAAAACACCATTTTGAGCTCCAACACAAGAGTTTGTTTCCGGAAGGAAAAAAAAAACAAAAGAAAAATAAAAGACACCCTCATTCAATATTCCTTCAAGAAATCAAACCTCGGAGTTCGTTTTCAAGGCGGTTGAGTTCAATCCGAACAGGATCAGAGCCATGAAGAAGAGTAATGAACTCATCAACTTCAGAACCAGCCCTTGATAAACTTGATTGTGTGCCATACTGCTTCTTCACCTTAGATGGCGTCATCCTCGGCAGCTGCTCCGAACCCATTTCGCCATTACAATTCTCATTCTGATAATGACCAGAAATTTCTGACATTTTTTTTGTCAGAGAAAAAGAGCCGAGTCAATAATAGTACTATTGAGATTGTCCCGCCAAAAATTGAGAAAAGGTATGGGACAAATTAGCAAAAAAAAAAACAAAAGAGCTTGGAATTATGAAACTCTGATTAAGAAAAATGTGTGGGTTGACTGTTTTTATTGATGATATTGTAAAAAGCAATTCTCAGAGAAATGAAGAAATGAAGATGGAAAAGTGAACAGAGAAAACTGAAGAAGAAATGGGAAATGTGGCTTTATGTAGTGGGGGGCGGGGGGTGCGGTTAAAGCAGAGTTTAGGCGCGGTTTAGTTTCAAATCAGGCAAAAAGTAAAGTAAAGTATTAGTATTCTCATTGGTTCATTTCATGATCCATTTACCACAAATCACTTTTTGGACGAATGTAAACCAGTGTTGTCAGACTCGGACCGGAGCTCGACTCAGCAGTGGTCAGGGGTCGAGTGACTCGGAGATCAACTCGGGACGATTCGGGGGTCGACTCGGATGACATCATAATGATGTAAGAAATATTAAATATTAATAATTATATTTTTAAATAAAATTTTATATATTTTACATATATTTGTTAATTGTTAAAATTAAACTAGCGCTTCATAACTTTCAAATAGGTTTTTTTATGAAACAAAATTATGACATTAGCTAGAATATTAGTTTAAACTAACTTTTATTATAATAAAAAATTAATAAATTTACTACATAATTGAATTTTATTAAAAAAAATTATATTACATATTTAATCAATGTATTTGGTAATAATTTTTTCAAATTTTGTTCAAAGTGATGAATATTGCTCAAATTATTTAGTTTATAATATTTTACCTTAGTTCACAATAATGGTTGGTACTCAATTTGACATTTAAGATGTGAGATGAATGACTAAATTAAAAATTTAGACTTAAACATTTAAAATTATGGGTAAAATCACATAAATATAAACGTTATGGGCCATTAATAACACAAAAAGTCTAATTCTGGGCCAAAAGTTAAAAGGCCATCTTCAAAAGTAGTGGAAAAAATTAAAAAATAGGCTAATAGTTAAAATTGGGTTCGATCCGAGTGTGACCGATTTCCGGGTTAATCAAAAACTTGACCGGTTTTGAACAAGTCATAAACAACGGATTTTATCGTGTCAAAAACTAAAGTCCATTTCTAATATAAAAGTTAATTTGTTAGGATATTTGGAAGTTTGTAAATGTATTATGATTGAACGTAAAACTATTTACGTTTTCCCTAAAAACAAAAACACATTGATATGTTGGATATGGACGATTAATTGATGGGTTGCTTAAGGGTCCGTCTACATCATATCAATAGTGCATTATTTGTTTTCTGAATATTGGAGACAACTTTTTTCATTATATAAAGTTAAATGAATTATTGTATTAGTTCCAAGTCTCCATCATCCCGTCATCACCATGATCTTCGAATCTTACTGATTTGAATAATTTGTCTCACTTTTTACTCATATCTGATTACTAAGGTGAGATAATTAATTTAGTAAAATTTCGATTTCTATAATCTTTATTTTAATAAAATAAAGGGCTTTCACCAAGAATAAATACAAATACTAAGCTTCATAACAAAACTCACACCAAGAATAATACTCACGCCGGTCCTTAATAAAGTGAGATAATTAATTTAGTAAAATTTTGATTTCTATAATCTTTATTTTAATAAAATAAAGGGCTTTCACCAAGAATAAATAAAAATACTAAGCTTCATAACAAATCTCACACCAAGAATAATACTCACGCCGGTCCTTAATATAAGACATTTTGATTTGTCATAAGTTTCACCTAATATGTATTTTTAATTGATAAAAAACCTTTAAAATATTTCATAACAATCAAGAAAATAATAAATGTGAAATTATATTTTTAAGATTTTTTTACCAATTAAAAATACATACTACATGAAACCTAAGACAAATTCAAATATCTTATATTAAGGACAGAAGGAAGTAATATATATTCACTTTAGCAAAATAAAATCCACTTATACAATTTATTGTCGAAATAGATTGTTTTATTAAGCTGAAAGAATACAAACGGTCTCAATCTCCAACGGTCACGACTCGTGCAACGTACAGCCAATAGGTGGTCCTCTATTTCCATATTCACAATCCCACAAAGCCACAAATTAAAGGGACATCCAAAATGACTTCCAGTTGCAAAGCAGCATCCAAAACTACGCTTTAAATTGTAGGCTGCTAAAAGGGTTAGGGATAGAAAGAAAACCGTTTCGAAGACAACTCGTCCGTCTCAAAATAAGAATTTTATAGTATTTTTATTTATGATTTTGGCTTAACTTAACAAATATAAAGCTAATTTCTCTTCTTTTAAGAATAGGAAGAAATGAAGAATGTTATTGAAAAGAAATTGGGTTGTATTTTCACTGAAATTCTTTAATAATTTGGATAGAACAACTACAAAAGAACAATATGATACTCAATGAACAAAACTTTTGTTTACCTCCGCTCAATCGTAATAGAGTGCAAAACTCGACGTGATGCGTCCATTATACTGAAAATTTACTCGAAATGAACCAATCACATCTTTCAACCAAAACTTGAATAACATGATATCATAGCTATACTAGCAACTTTTGTTAAGATAGTAATACCACAAATATTGATATTGTATTTTGAATCGTAATAAAAATAATAAAATTCACAAATGCATATTTGTATGGGATAGATAAAGTATTTATTACACAAACTCAATAATCAATTCCATAAAAATATTTCATGTATCTACTCCCTCCCTGGTAATAAGTAAAGAAAAATCTTTATGGTTCTATTTTAGTTTAAATTTAACAAACAAGGCTGTTTTTCTTAGATAAGAAATTAATAATTTTGTTAAGACGGGCATTAAAGAAACGATGAATTAGTTGAAAATCTGACTCCCTAGCTACCATTTGGTCCATCACTTCTTTAAATGTCAAATCATGATCCCAAATACCAGTTGAAATACCATAATCACGCTATAGAACATGATAAGCAACATTGGGTGGAGGAAGCACAAAGCTTTTTGTTACAATTTGAAGGAATCGACTAATTTCCGAAACAAAAAAGAAAGGCAATGCGGTGACAAAAAGCAAAGAAAAAAAAGACAATGGCACATGCATAGTGGGGAATAGAAGAAGATACCGTTGTTAGAGCACATGAAATGCTTTTCTCTAAAATGTTCTCTAAGTTTACATACAATAACAACATACTCAATATGTTCCTAATTTAATTAAGGTCGGAAGAGTCAAAATGTATGCAATTTTACCCATATATTTTATTACAAAAAGACGGTTTAAATATGATCTAAAATGCATCGGTGCATTTGATGTATTGATTTCTAACAATCTCACCAAAATTAAAAAGCTCCAAAATTTAAACAAGTTTACATACATTTAAGAATTAGGTACAATTTTCGGTCTCAAGAAAGTGAGAAAATTTTCAACTGCATTCACTATTAACCATTTCGCCAACAGCTGATCATTAGAGAGGGTACAAGAGGTTTGAAACAAGATTTTGGAGCAAATCGATTTATACTGGAGATGAGTGTCTTCCCAAAACAACCGAGTTCTTCGAGGTTCATCATCCAACTTACAGAAAGGGAAGCAGTGGTTTGAAATAGTATCTCAAAACTTCGTGTTCTCTTTCCGGCAATCTAACAAAAGACTGAATTTTTTCACTTTCTACTGTAATAATGAAACGTTCAGGGTAGAAGAGTGGAATCTTCGGCTATATTAGGCTGCTTTGATTGAATATTGATTGGAACAAACCTCAAATATGCAGAAACTTACTTCCAATCATATTCCCCTATGTAACAAACTGAATCTTCTAAAGTAGCATACTTTAGATTCCCTCTCAACCATTCTATTTCTAAATAGCAAACTTAAGATTCCCTCTCAAACATTCCATTAGCAACTGAGGATCATCAATGTAACTCTGCAAGCAAGTGCCATTACTGCATATTTGAATGTTCGAAAATATATAGATACTGATTAATATCCAGTTGAGAAATTAGCTCCTAAGTAGTGGGTATCCAAAATATCTTCTTGAATATAATGTTCACCCGTTTCCTTCAAATGCTCCTCTTTTTTTCTTTTCTTTTTTTTAATTTTTTTTTTTTTTTTTAGTTTTTTTAAATGCTCCTCTTTAGCTCAATATTGCATCCTATTTTGAACAAGAGCAGAACTGGGACAATCTTCTATCCGGAGCTAAACATATCATCTCCTCAAAATAGACTATGAACCATTTGCCAAAGCAGCCTCACGATCCCTACGTAGGCGTTCTCTCTGATACAAAATGTTAAACAACATAAAGGAGACAAATATATTAAAACATCTCAAAGCACAAGCATTTTGTTTAAATGACAAATAAGAATATTGAAAGATTGCAACTAAGAGTGACTGATCAACCTGTATAAAATCCAAAGATGAAACTCAACACTGGAAATTATGAGCGTTGCATAGAGGCATTGCGGAGACAACTCCACTTCTGCCAGATTCAAACAAACAGTAGTACCATTGTTCATGCAATAGAAGGATTAGCTAGGGTACCTTGTGAATTTAGTGGGTTAGAAAGTGATGTTTGTACAATTTTATCTCTAGTAGCAGGTTCAAGTATTACTAAAAGTAAGTAGAAATGTAGTAGAAAATGTCCACAGAATGGCAACGGCAACCATAAGGTTGTTCCTAAGTTTGTACTTATAAGAGCACTTTGAGATTAATGAAATATTGTTTCAAAAAAGTAAAGATTCAATGTTTGACATAAATTCACTAAGAATCCATTCAGATTTGTACATCCTGTTGTTTCCTTCTTGTTTCTATCTAAATTAGCGACTTCTTATCATAATCTTCCCCTTCTCCCCTTCCATCCCCTTTTTTGCCATCTTACCCCCGAAGACAAGTTGACGCTGTGAACCAGAAAATTGACAAGAGCCTCAGTATTTACATCACAACAAACAGCTAGGCTAAACTAAAAATGACTATTAAAAGGAATAGGTAAAAACCCTCACAAATAAGATACTGTAGACAGCAAATTTCTAACTAGAGAGGATTAGCGCAAAATATAGTATGCGGAAACACTCAGATGCCAAACTTCTAGAATGTCAACCATCTCTGCTTCTCTAATCAACTTTTTTTTTTTTGAGGAACTCTAATCAACTTTATGAAGTCTTCTTTCCCACAAGATTCAATTAACATAGATGAAATCTTTCAAATTGTAACTACAATCAATCAATCAAGACTTATCTTATTTTCTGCAGTAGTAATTTACTTAATTCCACCTCTACTACAGATTACAACAATTTCCTGAAAGATGAAGTAATTCAGTAGGTTGCAATGGAACCACTTCCATGATACACTCAAAAAGAAATCTAATTCAAACAGGCTACATGAGTCATTGTGGGATGAAAATCAACCCTGAATATCCCCAACAGTTAGTTCCTCTAAGCAATCCTGCAACGATTAAATGTAAACATTCCCCTGAAATCCTTTCTTTCACTTCCTATGAATACTAATCAAGTTTCTAAATAACAATCTAATTTTTGAAATCTTAGGAATTAATTTCAACTATTGGTTAAAGCTACTATACTCTATATTTCACAATACACGAACAAGACAAGTGCGATATCACAAAAGTTCAAAACATATGCTCAAGCCTTACTGAAATTCACAGTATTGAAAACAAGACTCACACTGATTCATCACTTTTCAAACACCAAAAGACTTTTCTTACTTCTCTGCACAAAATCCACTACCTTAATTATCCAATATCCCTTTATCCTACCATCAAAACAAGATTTCTATATAAAATTATAGAAAGGACACGAGAGGATTGTGCCCGGCAATGTGGAGTGCTGGTGTCAAACGCCTAACTTTCCAATGATTAGAACTCATGCAAGAAAAGGAAGCCAAGGAAATCCAAAAATTCTCTCATTCTCATTTTTCTTTCCCTTCTCCGTCCTCTCTTCGGCCATTAACTCTTAATCCTTCAATCTTTTTACATCTTTCTTACAAATTGTTCCCTAACACCCTAGCCCCTTCATGTCTGGGTTGAAGCAGAAAATATAAGTTAACTTCTCAAGTTGGAGAGGAGATTCACTTCAGAAAGAGTTTAAATTGTTGGCTAAATTAGGGCGTGCCAAGAGAATTATACCCATCCATGTATTTTTGGAATGCTGTAAATCTTGCAGGGAGGTTAGAAAAACACTCTCTAAGTTAACTTAAAGGTTGTGATGTGAATGTAAGAACTAATTTCTGAAATGTAAAAATAGATTATTATGGGCTAATCTTGAAATTTTTGAGCTCGTGCTCAAGCTCGAAAACAAACTGTCGGTGTTCTAGAAATCTGAGCTTAGCATGAATTGTATATTATAGAAAATCTTGTTCTGAAAGTAGGACAAAATTATTTTGGATAAATTGAGGTTCTGATTTCGTGCAGAGAAGTAAGAAAAGTCTTTGGTGTTTATCCCTCAAAGATTACTCAGAACTTAGCACCAATTCTCATGAAGAGCAAACATTGTAGAAGTAAATGCACCATCTAGGAAAAAAGAAAGGAAGAAGACGAAAAGAAAACTGATCAGGAAAATTGCATTACCCTTCGTTCCCAGTATGGATGAAAGCACACAAAATCATAAACCGGGCTAATTGTAGAGACCAAAACAACATTTAGCCCGGTAAACAGCAACAATCCTGTCATTGGCCGTGTACGGTGGGGCATTTTATCTTTTTACTAATCAGAACAGCGCCGAAAGACCATTTCTGGCGGAAACTGAAAAGAAGTCAAACGAGAAATTGGTTATATGAGTTTCCTTGTCAAAAAAATTTGCTGAAGATAAACTGGAAGATTCCATGACTCTGTACCACAAGCTTTCTTAAGCTCAAGAATACAACACTACAAATTAACAGAAACACACACCAGTACCTGAAAAACTACAATTAGGCAGTAAGGTTGACAAATTAAACTCCACATCCCACTAAAATCCTCACCCAATTATTTATAAAAAGGAAAAAAGAACAAATGCAAAGAACCATAAAATCCTCACCCAATTTTTTTTATAAAAGATAAAAATGAAAAAAGAACAAATGCAATGAACCATATAAACAAACAGTTTACATTTTGCATAACGTTCTACTTCGGTTTGAACTTTTAAGGCGAATCTTCTCAACATAATATCTCTACCTTTATCTAAACAATAGATAAAACAACCTGATTTCAATCGGAAGCAGCAATTGAACTTGTTTGTTACCTTTAATCTTCTTCTCTTCCCTTCCCTTCTTTCTTCGTCTCTCGCTCTGTTCTTCTTCCCGTGTCGGAGGAGGTGGTGGCGATGAAGATTAAGGTGGTGGAGGAGGGTGAAAATTGTGATTTTCTGGAAATCCAAGTGGTTTTTCAACAAATTTCGGGTCTTTAATTTGGGACGGTTTTTAATTTTTTTTTGCTGTTTCGTGTGTGTATTTTTGACAAGTCGAGGTATACCTACGGAATAGTTTTCAAATTTTGTTCATAAAGAGCTGAGGAATTAGTTCAAATTTTTGCTAAACTTTAGAATTCTGAAAAAAAAAACATCAAAATTATCAAAATATATTCCCTCCGTCACAAAATTATTGTCCGTTTATCAAAAAAATTTTGTTCCAAAATTATTGTCCGATTTAACTTTTTATGGATGAAGTTACACTAATACCCTTTAATAAAAAGCATACTCATTTTCTCACTAGCAGCCAAAAGCCGAAAATGAGAGCTACATTCCGACGGGTTTATCGACGGAAAGCATGAGGTGTCCAGGTGATTGAGCAATCCAAAATTTCATCCAATGCCTCATTAATTTGTGAGCAGCTTCTTACTATGATGTTTTTAAAAAAATGATTCAGATGAATTGAACTAAAGCGGAGCTATCGGATTGAAGCTTCTTCTTCAGTTTGACTGGGCTGTCGCCGTCTTTTTTGCCGTCGGTAGGCTATAATGATATGCATATTAATACTTCTCGATTTTACTTCATCGGTGGCCAGATTTATCGTCGCGAAGCTAGAGGTATGGCTTTGATGATGATACAAAGATTGAAAGCAAGTACCTTTATCAAAATGCATTTAATTTGTGATTTCCCAAAACTATCGGATCAGCATAAAATTCAACTCCATCGAAAAAATTTCAAGAATAATGGGTCGAAACTGCAAGTGATCTATTCTCCAGAATTTTAATTTGATTATACGCGTCTGATTGAAGAAGAATTGATTGTGCCATTCTTGCGCTTGAATATAATCAGTGAAATTGTGTGTTAGTGAAAAAGAGAAGTTAGAAGCAAGGTTTTCAAAATTTCGATCCGGATCTTAGGATCTTACAATCCTGTGATGCAGAATCAGGAAATAGATCCTGAATCTTATAAAATCTTTTTTTTTTTGTACCAGGATCTTATGGAATCTTTCAAAATCTCAATCCGGATCGTAGGATCCTACGATCCAGCAATCTGATTTATTTTGCGATATTTATATAAATTGTTGATTTCGTATTGAAAGAGGGGGAAATGATTAGAAAAAGATATACAAAGTTAAAATTTTGAGTTGATGATACTTATGCGGACACTAGTCTATTTCTCCTCCATAAAATCAAACAAGAATTAAACTAACAAATTGAAACTCGCAATTTCACAATTATTATAATATTTTAAATAGTTACGATCTCACTGATCCGATCCCACCGATCCGATCCTGAGATGCCAAAACGATTATGTGTGAAATTCCGATTTTGAAAACATTGGTTAGAAATCTTTTCCTAAAATTTTTTGCCGGTAAAATCAATATTATTTGCAGGGATATATTTGGAAGTTTATGACAAAATTTGGTCTAGCTTGACCAAAAATAAAATCTTGTATTTTAACAAAACTGGACAATAATTTTAGGATGGAGGGAGTACTTCATTTGTCCCCAAAAAGAAAATAGTTCATCTACATGTCACGAACATCGTCCAGCCTTTCAATAAAATAAAATCTAAATTGAGTTTTGAAATGTGTAATAAAAATAGTAGTTATACACATGGGTTATTTTCTTGAGATAGTGAAAAAATGAAGCTCAATTACGTACGTAATCATACACGTGTTAATCATATGATGAAATGAGTCACAGAAAGATCTTTCTCAATCTTAATCAGGTGTGAGGAAATTTCAGCACCGATAAACCAAATGGAGTTGCATACTTTTATGTTCATTTGGAGGCAAAATGCTGTGACACATGAACTCCTGTTTGCATACATGTGAAATGTTGGACAGGAACCTTTCCCAGCAAGATATGACAGATCTAATAAGCGTCACAAAAGGTTTTAACACAGAAAGCTTTACATGAGATGAGAAGCAATACTTAGAATGTGTAACTAGAAGAAGGGCATCATAGAAGAAAGGCTAGGAAGCAGAATTGATTGGATCAATTTATTTTGGTTCTGTACAAGATGACTGAATCCTATGTATAACTTTGCTGTTACGCACCTAAAAGATATGGACATGCATAACATTTTGTTTAGAGAAAGGGAAAACAGCATGCAGCCTACTTTCAAAACTATTATTGCACACATACAGATTGGCGGCAACATTTTACATCGCCAAGCCCCAGATTACACGGAACATATTGGTTCCAACCCAAGTATGAACCAGGAGCAGGACATGTACTGCTATTTGATGTCTTGTACATTTTAGACGCGGTGTTGAAGTTTCCAGGCTGAAGTAACAGAAAAGTCATTGCTCCCGCGGCCTAGCCAGCCAAAGGGAACTGAGGGCTCGAAGGCGCGAGAAGTAGTCACTTAATGTCAGAAGCGCACGGGCTGACTGTCTGGTGGTCAATATGCGATGCATTTGTTGAAGAGTTTGCTGTCGCAAATTGTCGGCCTGTCAAGTGCCAAAGAAGACCATTTCATTAATATCTCAAGATCATCTGACAAAGACCACACAGCCTGATTATCCAAAAACTTTCATTAATGCACTAAGTGTGGTATTTGTTTATAGTTTGACAGAAGAAAAGTGCAGGACTGCATCTGATTTGTAGATATCCATACCAATGCTACCAAAAAGCTACTAAACAAAAGGAGATGGGAGGTTCTCAACTAACGTTGCTTTTTATTTACAAGGATTGACGATTTCCCACAGCAATTAACATAACAAGCTGTCTATCATAGTACTGCCTGTCATAGTTAGACAGCTTCACTAAAGGTAAAAACAGTAGTAACATTTGTCTTTTCATCTGAGACAGATCATTCTCTGAACTATTTACACTGCATAAATTCACTCTCCCTATTGTTGTTAATATAATTATTATCTGACACTATATGTAGACACAATTTTCTTTAGACATTTAAGTATCAGAACAAATCACATTGTCCCGAGTCCCAACTTACATAACTAAGGAGCAGCTACGAATACACCATACAAAAAACTGAAGCTTGTAAACAGTATCAGGCTTTTTTGAGGTTTACGTGTTCTCAAGATAGAACACCATCTAACTATTGAGGTGCAGTCATCAGCACAGTCAGTTGTAAAGGAAACAAGGAAAGCAGTTACCTGGCGGAGAAAACCTTCAAGCGTCCCTAGCTTTCCCATGGCCATGGCCATTTGACCCATATAGCTCGCCACATTAGCAGATGACCCCTCAGGGACAGAAGCCCCATTTGCCAACGTCTCAGCCAGAGACTGCTGCAGAGCTTCCATGCCTTGTGAAAGAGCATCTTCAGCCTGACGAGATGATTCCTGCAAATTGTAGATACCGGCCATCTGTTGCTCAGTCAGAGGCTCCAAATGATCCCCTAAGAGCTGCATAGACATGAACCTATTCAGAAACATATATAAGATATGGAAATGCAATAACAGATGCAGCTGCAGTGTCGAAACATGATGATGACTAAGCAAAAACTTGGCCTCCAGAGACAAAATTTCAGGAAGAGAGAGAAGATCAGTAACAGTCCATTATACAGAATTTCAGGAAGAGAAAGGAGCAGTAACTATCCAGTAACTATTCACTGCCTCTCAACCCATACTTCCCAGCGGAATTACGAGAAATGCTCAGCTGAGGTAAATGATCAAGAACTTGCCTCCAAGAAAACTCTTTCAAACACAGGAACATTTAGTCAATACTCCAGAAAAATAAACAATATCCTAACATACAGGAATAGTTACATGGATCACACTACTATGGCATCCTGAAAAAGACATACTTCCTTTTGACTTTGGAGATTTAATGCTCGTTAACAGTCTTCCAAGTTTTATAAGGTCTTAATGTTCCCATTTCATTATGAGTGAATGATTCTTTGTTCTAAAAGACAAACTGGTGAACATATGTACATTCCCAAATATCTTCAGCCTCCTGTTTCACTTACTTCTTCATCTAGTGGAGCTAACTTCCTTTTCTGTCCAATGAATTCGTACTCTTAAATTATGCATTCACACATCTATCTCAATATTATCATTCACTACCCTATTTGTAAGTTCATTTAATACAGAATCCAAAACACATTGTGATAGAATGACCACATTCTGTGAAATGCACATAATACCTTATGTAAAAGCTTAACAACATGAGTATATGGAGAACAGAATGAATCCAGAGCACACCTTCAGGAGTTCAGAGGGCCTAAATCCACCAATCCACATAAAACACCTCTCCGCCGGGGTTTTCCACATTCCTGACAAGATGTGGAATACATCAGCCTTTGCTGCGGTACCTTTTATTCTGAAAATCTCGTTATAATGGGCTGTGACATTGTCCACAATTACACGCAGATCAGAATCACCAGCATGCGCATTTACAGCTGTCCTCAGATCATTTATGTGCCTGTTATGTTCTTCCAACCACCGAGCATATTCTACATCAAATGCCATGGCACCTGCATTCGGCCACATGAATCAAATTAAGTAAATGAAACTCTATAAAAACTACTTGCTTTTCCAAAATTCGTCAAATTTCTGAGTCTTTTGGCAAATATCACAAGGAAATCCTTATTCTGAATTCAGAAAAGGGTGAAGAACATATTGGAAAAATCTAAATTTTCTAATTGCCCAGTTAATGGAACGTCATAGACCAGTTTCACAACCTAACATAAATCTGAAGAGAAGTAGCACACTGAAACTTGAAACTGCTATTATTTTCAACAAAGGGGTCACCAAGGCAAGCAGCAGCAAAACGGCTGCAATAAAACAGCTTAGAAAAGAAAAACGGAAAGAAAGAGGAAGGTTCAAACGTAGGCCACAAATGAAATGAACTTAAATGCAAACCACGTGAGTTGGTCAAGATTTATGGTCCTCAACATAACTAGCGAATGGGTCGTGTAAGGAAAAGACAGCATACCGTTGCCACTTGTTCCATGAGCTTGGTCACCCATACTTGAAATGAACATCCCCTATGGTAAAAACACACAACTTTAATGGTCCTGGGCGTCAAAAACTATGCGAGGAAAACATGACATGTGGATGTTCTTGGAAAAAACTAATCAACACATCATAAAGAAACAAACCTGTTGACGGGCTCTCTGAAGTTCTTGTTCCAGTTGAGTTAGCTTTAACCGACTATTCTCTAACTGTTGTACGTAAGCCTGCAAGGGAAAAGAAAATAATTAAACATCTGTTGAACCGCCTACCAAATCATGATTGCATCCTTTAAAGAGGTATTAGACTACAACCCAACGAATAAATCACAATTACAAACATACTTTCTTTCTCAATCTACTTTTCCTTGCAGCTTCACGATTCTGAGCAAGCCTACGCTGAGTCTGTACAAATTTTATTGTAAAAGGGGGTTAGCAACTATTCATCAACATTGGTTGCCCATGAGTAATCCAAAAAACCAACCTTCTGATCCAAGTTCTTTTCCTTTGATTTATCACTAGAATCATAAGCACCAGGAGCATTGGATTGACCCATGTCACCCTGCACATAGAAGAAACAGAACTTTAATCCATGAGTGAAATTTGTTAAAGGTACCTTCAAGAAAGGGGAAAAAAAGAAGGAATTTAGGCCAATATCAACACCCTAAGCAGCTCGAGCAAGAAAGTAAAGCATCAGCAAACCAAATACAAAAATAATTAAAGCGAATGTCATTTAAATCACATTACCCGCTGGTTTTTATCTTCTCCATCAGCATCCGTAGAAGTATCAGTTCGGGAGCTGGAATCGGCCATGTTAGACTCACCCCAGTTCTCATGATGAGCACCAGATGCAGAAACTATATTTGGCTGCGACCCTTTTTGCAATTGGATCGTTTGAGGTGCAGGGGGGATGGAATTGTTCAACTGAATGATCAATTAGAGCAATCAGGAATACTCATTTGAGGTAAGCAGTTAGCAATTAGAGCAATTGGATAGTTTGAGGTCAATAATTAAGAATGTGTTTCCCAAGCAGATCAATCAAGCAAAATTAGGAATTCTCATAACTGAGATTTAAATAAATATCCAAAAGAGATAAAGGGGAGTTTTACCTTGTTAGATTGGAGATCAGGTCCTGCTGCTGCATTAGTTACACCTTGACCAAACGGACCTTGGCCACCTTAAAAGGACTCGTATAAGCAACTACTAGGATATTACACAAAACAACTAGGAGGGGGAAGGAAACAACAACAACAACATATCTTCATTTAAATTCAAATCCACCATGTCATTTGGCGGAGGAAACACCACAAGCAAGAAGATCAAGAATATAAAGCAACATGAGGAAATTAATCTCAAACCAAATAGAAGCAAAAATAGATATCTAGAGAGAAAACAAAACATTTTGATAATATGGCTTATTACACGAGCAAAATCAAATTCCAAGACAAGCTTAAAGTTAATCTCTCTATTCTTAATTTTGAGGAGCTAAAGGATCCTAGGCAAGTCTCAGACTAAATACTCTGGTTCTGATTTAACGAAACAATAAAAACGGGCTTGAAACTCCAGAAGGTTCAACATAAAATATTAGAGCTCGTGCTTAAAAAGGTTTCCCTTTAATGTCAACTTGCTCACTTAGAGGGCTTTGTAATCTCACAGGTACAAGGCACAAAGTTGCTTCAATCACAGTACTAACAGGTCTCTTACCTAATGATTCATTAAAGTTTTATCCTCTGCACAGAATTCATAACAGCATATTCTTTTAAGAAAAAGAAAAACAAAGAAAACTCTGCAGTCATTTCTTCTATTCACTATTCTCTTCTCAGGATGCCAATCCGCAGGGAAAAAGGATATTCAGTTAAAACATAAATGCTCCCCCACCAGTATCTCATTTGTTCAGTGTTTTTCACCATGACAATAAAGCATAGGAGAGGAAGAAAAAAGCAGCAATCAAGTTGGAGAGAGCAAAGTGTGTAGACATACTACGATTATTGGCAATTGCACTATCACCAATTCGAAAACCTAGATACTGTTCCAGGACACCAAAATCTGAAAGACGAGAGGAATGAGTTGCATTTCCATCCGTGGCCCTGAAATCAACGTATACAGGCCTAAATGGTCAAGAAAAAGAAATGTGTTTCGGGCCACCCAGAGAGAGACCCAAACTTCAAAGCACACTACTCACCAAAAAAAATGTTAAGTATCCCAGTTTAAAGTGCTACAAAGAAAGTTCTCAGACAACAAAATGATTGAGACTAAGCAATCTCAGAAGTCCGGGGAGCAGAACCCCTTAAATAAAGTTGCATACAAATTACAAAAGAAATGAACAACTCCAGAAACCCAGAAGAGCAATGACACGCCAATAAAATTTGAAGTTCATATACACATAATAAGAGTTCAGAGCTTGAGAACTTACATTTGATTAGAAGTTGGAGTTTGAGAAATAAAGCTTGGCATCCCAGCAGTGAAAATTCAATCGTGATCACCACCAACTTTCAGCGCTCTGCAGCGCATACATGATCTTATTCCCCCCGCCCCCCAAAATAAAAGAAAATCAAAATCCCACTTCAGCTTCCACTTCCTTCAATCATACAAAAAGGGAACAAATTTCAAAGCAGCTCTCTTTCCAACAGTACTTCTAGAACAAGAAACCTCAGCAGCCTGAATTGACTCCTATAATCAAAAGAAGCACCTATCTTGATCAGATTAACTGGCTGTTGTTTTCAAAACAAATTCAGACATACTGACATATATATATAGACACACATGAAAACACACTGAAAATGAATTAAACTTCAAAAAGAAAAAAAGGAATTCAAATACAAATCAAACTACTAAATTGACCACCTTTCAGCTCAAAAACTCATAAACCCTCCTTCCAGGAAACTCCAAGCAGAAGACTTTTTGGTCAACCAAGCAAAACCCAGAAGCTAAAATGAATTGAAAATCCAGAACAAAATGAAAGAGATTTTTTTTTTAATGATTTTGACTAGTGGGTTATTAAATAAATGAGTCAGTGCACTAAATTTTCAGTCTAGAAATTGCCCCCTCCTCCTGAGGTGTGTTGCACAAAATTCAACGGACCAAGTTTTTGGTTTTTCCTTTTAGGCTTTGGGAAAAGCAATTAAAAATTTGAGCTCCTTTCTTTATTTGGAGGGTGGAGGTTGAGATTGGTGACGTCCATGTTCATGTCACTACAAGCTAAGCTCTGTTTATCCCTGCGTCATTTTCCTCCGATGCCTTTTTTTCTTCTTTCCTTTTTATTATTTTCCACTTTTCAAAGCCATCATTTTTTTTTAATTGTTTTTTTGACTTTTCGTATGTTTTGTTATTTGTATTTGAGTCCACTTCCATACTACTACTGTTTATAGAGATACTTAACCAAAACTTTTATTGAGTTATTACTAATTTATCGATAAATTAACAATCCTATAATTATAAAATTAATCTTTTTAACTTCTAATATTAAGGAAAAATTAAGAAAAGCACGTTTCTATTTTTTATTTAAGGCTTGTAATTGTAGTCTTTACTATGTTTTTTTCTTTAATTTGATACTCCTTCTATCTTAAAAAAATAATTCACATTGTAAATTGTGAACACAATTTGAATAGATTTCTAAAAACTTTTTTTGTTGGGATAAACCAATACTTTTTTAGGATTTCATTTTTCTCATGTATGTTCTCAAATACAATATTAGAATAACATTCTTCATGCCAAAAAAATAATGTTCAGTTTAAATTTATTTTTGACTAGTAAATATCCCCCACGTTATCCAGGTGTTGTAAAATGAAAGGGAAAAAATACATGTATGAATAATTTAATATGTATCATGCCATTTGTCATACATGCAAATTCCAAATGGAATGCATGTAAATCGTTTTCCTCATTACTCCAAATTATTTAAGCAGAAACACACATTCCCACCCTTGATCTGGGGTTATTTAATTGCTCCAGGAGTTATTTGAGTTGTCAAGTGTCATAAAGTTTTTTGCCTTTCTTGTTGCCTTTCTGTCTCTTCAAAACTGGCCTTTTGTTTTCTTTCTACTTCCAAAAATACTCTCTTCAAAGCCAGCAGTATCTTTTCATGTTCCCCACAAGAATTAGGCGATTTCCAAAGTCTTCTGCTGCATGTAAAGGCAGTAAATTTTGCCACCCTCTTAAATGCGCAGCCAACTCCATTTGTACAGCTAATTCCGTTTCTTTGGAGGGTCAGCAGAAGCATTAATTTCCAGAGAATACTTCCAAGGGCCGAATCTGGTCCTTTAAATAAGAAATCAAACATGTCTCGTTCACATGCAAGTGAGAACTCTTTTTCTAGTGTTTATACTCATCAAGGGCCTGCGTTTTCAGAGAAAATGAGGAATTATAATCCAAATCAAGATGTACCGCCACACATGATACATAGACCCATGCGGGTTCTCAACAAGCAGATCTCAGCAGCAGCAGAGGAGTCCTCGGCGGAACATCAACCCCTTTCCTTAATAGGGTATCTCATTGATGATAGATACTTCAATGGAGAATAACTTCAGAACTACATTACTAGGAACTGGGCGTTATATGCAAGGGTTGTCCACAATGACCGTAATTTTTTTGTTATCAGATTTGTCAGCAAGTTAGATCTACTTGCGGTTCTGGATAATGGGCCATATGCAGTGTATGGTGGACTACTGATACTGCGCCAATGGTATGCTGATGATGATTTAGTCCTGGATAGGGTTCGGATTACGAAATTATCAATCTGGGTTAGGCTTCATAAGACTCCACTACTAAATTTCAACTAGCGAGGAGCGCGTGAACTAGTTGGAATACTGGGAGAAGTGGAAACGGTCAAGGAAGATTACTTTGCACTTCAGAAAGCAACGTATCTCAGAGCTAAGATCTGGATTGATCCCAGTAATCCCCTAATGCCAGCTTTTCACACCACCTCTTCTAGAGGTACGGCAAATCTAGTGGAATGCAGATATGAAAGGTTGCATAAGTTCTGTAGGCGATGTGGTCGGCTAGGTCATTCAAATCATAAGTGTATGGTTGTTTCTGATGTAGCCTTAGAGGCTTACCTCACTGATTATTTTAGAACGCAAGCAGACAGAAATAAGACTCAGATGTATTGGAATGAGTAACGTGAGATGTTTCCAGAAACCATGATAGCAGATGGCAACAAGAACAGAAGATGCACCAGACTGACGGCTGCGTTCTTGAATAGAACAAGGTCTTACTATGCTCTTATTGAGGAAGACAGGGTAAATGATGGCTTCAGAATCACGATGAATGGAGATCAGGGCTTTCATGCAATGGATATTGATCCGCCCCCGAGTGAGGATGATGAAGACCACAATGATGATCAATCTGAGGAAGAGGAGAATCATGCAGATCCTGATGGTCCAGAGGATCCTGACAATGGACCGCCAGATGATAACCTGGAGGAGGATCAAGAGGATATGGAGGTAGAGAACAGATTTGGTAATGGAGCTATCAATGAGGGAGGCCCTCAGGAGAATGGTTTCCATGAAGGATCAGCAAACTCCACACCGCCAGGTTCTGTGGCTAGAGGTAACTCACCTAACAGTGTGCTCTCATTTCCTTCTTTTACTGTTTTACATGATGTTCAAGATATGTTGCATGTTCACAACCTGCTAGTCCTTGCACAGTCAACCGTTTCACTGACAAGTAACCGGTCAATCTCTGAGGAACAATCTCAGGACATTAATGCTTGGGACAATTTTGTTCATGTTATTTCATCTGTTGAGCCTACTATATTAGATAGTAGTTTACTTTCTGGTAATTCAAATGTACTGTCAAGGGAGGAACCCAGGGTCGATGTACTGTCTCCTGATATAGGGGATTTAGTTGTTACAGATCAGGGTAGCCAGCTCAATACAAGTACCATGACTAACCTCCCTGCGTGGTGGAGATCATGGGGCTTTTTTTGTAATGCTAAGACGAGTCTAGTTCAGGAAGATCATGACATAGATTTGGAATCGGAGAATGTAATGGTGGTTAGAGAAGTTATTGCAGAGAGTCTTGCAACCCCAGAGATGGAAGAGGGGGACGCTCAGTTTCAATTGGGAGAACAGGCAGCACAGTACTTCAGTCGGCTGCTAGTAGCTGGGGAGGAAGTCAACAGCAGGGAAAAGGCCATTATTCTGTCTTGGCCACAATTGAGGGGCATGCCTGAGCAAGGAGTGCCTAGACTCACAGAATACTGTCATCACACCCCTAGCACTAATCAGAGTAAGACAAATCAAGTACCAAGGAATTTGGCAAGAAGGACCTTCAAGAGGAAAGGAATGAGTCTTACAGCCAGGCAAGCACAACAGCAAAGAGGACGGCAAATGCAAAAGTATCAGCTGGAGCTAAGAACAAATGGTACACTGCAACCAGTTCACTTCAACATGGCACAATCTCAACAACCTCACAGGACCTTAGATCGTTTAAAAAGATGGAAGAGACAGGTGGCTTTGGACAAATTGAAGGTGAGCAGTGATCTGCTAGTAGGCAATGAGGCCAAGGACACTAGTATCATGGCCAAACGTCCAAGAGAAGTGACAGCAGGGAGTGCACATCAACTGGCAAGGAAAGCTCAATGCCTGGAAGGGCACATAGGAGGCCTTTACCTATGGCCAATTTGATCTCTTTTTTTGATAACCAATTGACTATGCAGGAAGCACAGGAAGAACTGAAAGGATTTGCGGCGGTTGATCCAGAACAACTGCCTATGTTTTCATGAGAATCCTCAGTTGGAATTGTCGGGGCATGAACAGTGGCCCCACTCAGCAAGTACTATGTAAATTAATGAGACAATATAACCCTAGTATGTTATTTTTGATGGAAACTAAGATGAATGCTAGTAGTATGGTTAAATGGCAGCAGGGGACTAGATATAGGCACCTCATTTCGGTGGATCCATTGAGCACCAGGGGAGGATTAGCCTTATTTTGGGTACATGGCATCTCTCTAACCTTGCTGGCCAAAAATAAAAATGTAATAGCAGTGAAAGTAGTAGAAGTCAGGGCTAGAATGGGTGGCTATTTTCTTGTATGGTTTTCCTTCTCATCAGGGGAGAACCAAATTTTGGCTTGATCTAAATAGTATGCTCAGCCTTTTATCGTATCCTAGTATCCTTTTAGGCGACTTCAACCTAGTTATTAATCAGGAAGATAAATATGGGGGTCGATTAGTGACTGAAGTGGATACTCACTGTATCAAGAATTTTCTGAGTAAGCATGATTTGGAAGAACTCAGACATCTTGGATGTTGGTACACCTGGACTAACAACAGACAAGGGGACAACCTTATATATGAGAGATTGGACAGGGCCTTTGTCAACAAAAACTGGCTCACTTTCTTCAATAAAGCCATCATCAGGAATCTCCCCATCTTGAACTCTGATCACGGTCCTATTCTAGTGGATCTAAAAGAACAAAAGCACAGGAAAAAATAGAAGAAAATGTTTGAGCAATTCTGGGTAAGGCCACGCAGATTGTCAATCAGCATTGGCAGCACATCCCACAAACGAGTTTACCGCCGGATCAGGACCTCCAAAGCAGCATGTCTTTCAAATTGCACAGATGTTTACATCATCTACACAGATGGAGTAAAGACAGCTTCAATAGTATTGATAAATATGTGCAGAAATTGATTAGGGAAGTGGAAATCCAGCAGCAACACTGGGAGGCACACAGGGATCATTCACAGGCTCATGAGAAACTCACAGAACTCAAACAAGAAATAGAACATGCCCTGGTAATGCAGGAAGACTACTGGAGGCAACGATCTAAACTGATTTGGCCCCTGCAAGGAGATAAAAATACAAAATTCTTCAACAAATGAGCAGCCATGAAAAAAGGTAATAAATGGATCATTGAATTGCTTGACCTAGACGGCAATTGGATCCAGGAGTAGGAGCAGATAAGGCGTCTAATAGAGCAACATTTTTCGGAGATCTACACTACTCCCACCGAATCATATGTCCCGGCTAGGGAGGATTTAAATATCGAGGACCTACTGGACACAATGGAAGAATCCTTAACTGAGGAACAACACCACCTCCTGGAAAGTCCTTTTACAGAAGAAGAAGGCTGGAATGCTGTTAAGCAAATGGCACCTTGGAAGTCACCGAGACCAGATGGAATGCCAGCGGGTTTTTATCAAAAGTATTGGTGACAAATCAAGACGGAGGTGGTTCCGGCTGTTTTGGAGGTGACACAAAAGGAGAATTTCCCAGAGGAATGGAATCAGACCAATTTGGTCCTCATCCCAAAAACGACAAATCCAACTACGCCAAATGATTTCAGACCAATCAGCCTGTGCAACATCAAGTACAAGATCATCACCAAGATGATTACAACACGATTTAAGGCGATCATGAATGATCTGATAGATGATCACCAGAATGGTTTTGTGCCTGGACGGAATATTAGTGAGAATATCCTCATTGCACATGAAGTAGTGGAGAACATCAAAAAGAGGAAAGGCAAAACAGGTGTAGCAGCAATTAAGGTGGATATGAGTAAAGCATATGACAGAGTATCATGGACCTTCCTCAAAGCGGTTTTAACCAAATTAGGTTTTCCTGCCCAGTTGGTTCGATTGATCATGCACTGTGTCACTACAATATCCTACTCAATCTTATTCAATGGAGAGAATTCCGCCTATTTCCACCCAAATAGAGGACTCAGACAAGGATGTCCACTCTCACCATATTTGTTTATCCTTTGCCAGCAGGCATTATCATCGGCTATAAGGGCAGAAATTAGGAAACTCCCTGGACTCGGCATCAAGGTTGGGAGAGCAACTCCAAGAATAAGTCATCTGATGTACGCCGATGACAGCCTGTTCTTTCTTGAATGTAAAGAATCATCTGTCAAAGCTTTGGCTCATGTGATTTCCCAATATCCTAGACTATCGGGACAAAAAATTAACCATTTCAAGTCCTCAATTCTATTGAGTCAGAATACTCCACAAGAACAGAAGGATCTACTACACCAAACACTAGGTATTCAATCTGCTAATTTCTACAGCAAGTACTTAGGAATGAGTCTGGATTTTGAGGAAAAAAAGAGACTCATTTTTGCGCAATTTACAAGTAAGCTAAGCAACAAATTGAGGGATTAGAAGACTAAGCTATTATCTTTGCCAGGAAGAGTCACATTAGCCAAGTCGACGCTCTCGTCAATGCTAGTATACCCTATGGGTGTTTTCAAATTGCCCAAGAATACCCTGAAAAAGGCAAACCAGATCTTAGGTGTATTCATTCGGTGTGGTGATAAGGAAAGCCGTGGTATAACTTGGAGATCATGGGATAAAGTGTGTAAATAGATATTACATGGAGGGCTAGGACTTAAATCGACGGAGGAATTTAATCAAGCACTACTTGCTAAACATGCTTGAAAAATACTCTCTGCTCCGAATTCTCTCATATCACGTTTCTTCCGAGGTAAATACTGCAAAGGAAAAAATTTCGGTGTCCCAGAAAAAGGTACTGCCATGTCTTGGGGATTCCGAAGCATCCTATGGGGCTATGAGTTATTAAAGGGGAAGCTCAGGTGGAAAGTAGTCTCTGGAAACAGCATTAAGATCAGTGATAACTGGATCCCATTGAGGGACAATCCAATTGCTAGTGATTCCATCCTAGCAACACACACTGATCTAAGAGTTGCCAACCTGATTAATGCGAATGGATCCTGGAAGACATCATTGCTTAGAAAGATCTTCCCCCCATGATATTGCCTTTAATCCAGGGAATCTATATTGATCCAACACGGAGAGTGGAGAAAGGTAGCCTACTTTGGACAGAAACGGAACATGGCATGTACACAGTTAAATCAGGCTATAAGGTAGCTTTTAATAAATCACACCCTCTGGATTTCAGTGCCATACATCAAGAGAAGACTGCGTGGAAACTGTTATGGAAAACCAGGATACCTCCAAAAATGAAACTCTTTGTTTAGAGAGGGATTCATAATGCACTTCCAACAAAACAAGGCTTGCTGAAAAGAGGCGTTATAGAAGAGGATTTATGTCCGAGATGTCAGTTGCAATCAGAAGATGTTTCACACCTATTCCTGGAATGCCCATCCTCAAGGAGGCTTTGGAGAATCACGAGCTTAGGTTTTAATTTCGACACAGGTCAAGCCATCCCTTTCAAAGATTGGTTCCTGGAGTGGATCAAAACGACTCCTGATGTGATGGCAATTGAGTTGTCCATCTTTGTCCTTTGAGAAATTTGGAAGAACCGAAACGATCACGTCTGGCGTCCACAATAGGGAGACCGACAGGGTGCTTGTACAAGGATGTGGAATACAATAACACAAGACTACAACCTGCACCTCAATCTTTGTATGAAACAATGGAACCGAAATGGGGGCAATTTGATCCAAACAGAGGAGATCACAAAAATGGATGAACTCCATATAGCCTCACGAGGACACACACTCATGCTAGATGGATCTTTCCTTCCGGTATCACTACAAGCCACGGGAGCATGGAAAATCACCACAGAGCATGGGATGATTCAGCAAATTAAATCACGGAAATTTCATGCACTTACTTCCCTCCAAGCTGAAGCCCAGACACTGTTGTATGCCATACAAGAGCTGCAGGCATGGACATCCACCACATCCGTGTGCTCACGGACTATGAGTTCTTGGCAAACAAATTGATTCCCGAACAATCATCGGTTGAAGTTCAGGAATTAATTGCCGAGATTATAACCTTTTCCAAGTCGTTATTTTCCTTTTCTATAACTAAAGTCCCCCGGGATGATGTAGCCGAGATGCATAATATAACATATAATCTAGCTAAATGTAACACTGTAAACTCCTTTAATTAATCTATGCAGGTACAAATTTCAAAAAAAAAAAATATGTATCATGATATTTTATTATTAAAAATCAAATAAAATGAACCAAAACCAAATGTTTGATTATCAGTAACAGAATCTTGACGTTTCTGTTCAAGGTTCTGAAATTGATAGCCTCACCAGCAAATATTTACCCTTTTCAATGACTTTTTCCTATTAAGCAATAACAACAACATACCCAGTATATTCGCAACTAACTAAAGGGAAAAAAAAAATTGCCTTTTGTTATTTTTTTCCATCCTTTACTTGCACCCAAACACAAAAATCATTAAAAATTACTAATGAAATAAGAAATCGTACAAAAACAAAAAAAATAAAAAACATTTCTTTAATCAAAACAAAACTATGAAAATATCACTTTCATAGATGGATATGTTGAGCTAGAGTTGGACCTAAAAAAAGTGGTGGAAAAAAAAAACAAAAAGAGCATGATCTAAGTTTTGCAAAGATAATTATGAATATGCAATTGGATAATTTATAAGTAGCAGTATTTTAGAACTCGTATTGTACTCAAACTCCCAACACATGAACATAACAAACTATTTATTATTTTTAAAATAATAAAATCATGTAAAATGATCACTACAAATTACAAATTTAAATAAAATCATGGATAAGATTAATTTGATAAGTTGTTCAAATTTTTGATTTTCAGTTTTACGTTTAAGGTTTTTTTCGTAACTAATTGTAATTAATAAGATTCAGTAATATTGATCAGTTAAATATATTTAAATTTTGAACTTGTAAATAGGTTATACTAAAAAATTACATCAAAATATTGAGAAGCTTCCGTCGCGGTGGCGCGATTCCCGCTAACAAAGCTATAGGCCGCGCCGCTGGAAGCAAATTGTTTCTTATAGCTCGGCAGATTAGGTGCCTTCCGGAACTGAATGGAAGGAAAGGCCTAAGGGAGCGGCTATGTGTAAGAGAGCTGCTCTGAAACGCCCTAAAACCCTAGAACAAAATATGCAGGGGAGTGTTTCTATGTTGTGTTTGAAGAAGAAATCCACAGGGTCATTGTGGATAACCTGCTGAAACGGTGCTCTTAAACATATTACGAGGTGATATTGCCAGATTGAGTAGATGCACCTCTATCACACTGCATGAGAAGATGCAAGTCTTTTTAAGTACATTTATGAGAAAGAAATTGTCATGTATCCTTATTTTAAAAGGTTGGACTATTTCTCCACTGAATGCATTTACTCGCCCAATGCTTACTGTGGGTTTCCTCGAGAATTCATCAAGGATCTGGAAAGAATCAGGCCTTGAGCAATTTTGGATATTGTTAAGTCAGGCGAGGATTTTAGGATCTCAACTTCAACAAAATGCCAGAGAGACAGGGAGAGAGAGCAGGGAAACTACGAACGTTGTGGTTATATTTCGAGTCAGAAATGGTGTCTTGTTGGAGGGCCTCAATCATGGTTTACCAAAGCTTGGTATTGGGAGAACCCGAGGGCTAACCAAGACACAAGCAAAAACATAAAACAACCTAATGGTTTTACTCATTTCAACTTACTTACGAACCAAAAATGTGAGTTCCACCTAATAGAAATTTCCTACTCTATCTGAGCCGCTAAACTATCGAAAGATAGACCATACAATGGTGTCACTCCCGAGAAGTTGGAGAGCAATAATAAGGTCCAACTAAACTTTCAGCAAAAGCTGAAATTTCTGCTTCATTCACTTGACAACACTTTTTCATGTTCTTATGTGAAAAATGTTTGCCTGTCTATTATAGATAGGTCACTCCTTTCCCGCTAACAACCTCACCAATGCAATGACATGTTGTATTTGTTCCCTATCCATCCCCAAGTATTCTATCTGCAGCCTCCTTATAAACTACTAGAACCATCCTGATTCCCATGTTGAAAGTTCGTCTCATCTCAGCGTCATCTATTCTTCCAGCCTGTGAGGTTTCAGCAGCAAAATGTAAAGGTAAAATTGTGTTATTAGTCTGAAAAGTTGCGCAAAGTAAGAGTGACATTGATGGTTTTGCATAGTGGACGAATATGATGAGAAAATCTTTGCCACGAGTAAAGTTCTACAAAAAAGAATCTAACCTCTTGAATCCAATTGAAAACAGGAGGAACTACCCAGGAGTCCTTGTGAATGACAGCTCCAAGGCCTTCAGGGAAAATTCTCGGGATATTTTCCATGAAACCACCCCCAGTGATATGAGCTATACCCTTTACTACTCCCTTTCTTACCAAGTCAAGCACCTTAGACATCGAATTCGAGGCTGAATTTTAGCTCGTGTGATGACTAAAAAAACAGCAGAATAATGCAAACTAAAAATAGGCCCGAGGCATCACCTCCCTTTCTTAATCGCGAGTTACTTTCAGGATCCGTACCAAATTTTCATTGATGAAACTAGAGCTTCATAACCAATGGAAGCAACAGCGAAGGTGCACTTATTTAAAGAATTTCAAACCTTCTAACAAGAGAAAATCCGTTTCCACTCGAAGGAAGACCAATGAGGATATTCTAACCACAATATTTTTCCCATCAATTACTGAATCTTTTTCAACAGTGTCGACTGCAAAACCACAAACATCGTACTCCCGACAAGCGTAAAAGCCTGGCATCTCAGCAGTCTGTGAGGCACATTCAATCTGTCAATTTCAGAAAGAGCAAATTCCTCCAAGAACAATGCTACTTCCGCAAGTGATATGCTCACTAAAAAGTGAAATTAATTCCCTAACTACGTAAAACCCACAAGAAACTTAGAAAAGTATCTAAACCAGATATCATGTTACAAGCAGAATCATTTAGCTTTACGGATATTTTAGGATTTCAATTTATCTTTTATTAAAAAACCCCACTTCTCCAACTCTGGTGGCTAGAAGAGATCTTTAATCAGAAATAAGAACGGGAAGGGAAGCTGCAGTCATGAACTTATGGAACAAATATGTGAAACCATAACATATGTATTTTTAAATAAGATAACTAAGAGACTTTATTTAGTCTTCTTGCCTTTCCTATACAAAAGAAAGCCATGAAACAAGTACCTCTCCTCCTAAGAGAACACAGTCAGATTGTTGGCAACCATCAACGATACCTTTTATAACCTGCATAAACACCAAGTCATCATATAGATGTTGAAGAATCTCATAACTAAAAAGAAAATCACTAATCAACTTAAAGAATCATACTTTCTCAGCAAGATCACCATCAAGATGGCTGGTAGCAAAGTAATCAAGGAAAAGTGAATGCTTTGCTCCAGACGTGACGATGTCATTAACACACATGGCAACCTGATGCAAAGGTCAACTGTTAAGTTCAGAAAATACTTTCCACATTCAAACTAACAAATACAAACATTTACCAGGTCAACCCAACGGTATCATGAATTCCAGTTTCAACTGCCAACTTAAGCTTAGTTCCTACACCGTCTGTAGTAACTACAAGATATGAATCACCTGCTCGGGCACAAGGAGCCACAAACAACAAAGAAAGATATTGATTAATGATAAAATAGGAAGAACCACTGCGTTAATGAGAATTTCTCCATTAAAACAACATAACCATAGAAAATATGTGAAAACATCGATTGTCCCATATCTCACTTACATAACATGAGCAAATTAACCATGACCATGACATTTGAATTAAAAGGACAAGTCATGGCACAACCATTCAAAAAGTTATCACCCTGATACGTTAATCAACATACATATCATCGTGCCAGTACAACGATATCATTTCATAATCAGCACCCCAGCAGACGCATATGCTTCCCATTAATAATGTGTTTGCATTAAAAGCCAATCTGTGAGTGGAACACAAACATTCTTTACCCATACAAGATTTAGTCCTTGAGATGAAACATTAAAGCATAAAAAACCTAAACGTTCAGATTGCCACTCAAATGTCCAACTTAAGGCCGCACTTATCTGTGTTTACTCCAAATAAGTTATTCCTATGACATGAAACGCTTAGAAAGAAAAGAGACAAAATATTGGAAGTTCAATATTTGACCCCTTTCCGAGAAGAAAGAAAAATATAGTGCAGGCCGTCTTCCACTTTTTCATTTTCGTATAAACTTAAATATAGACATAATATTCATCTAAGAACCAGTAATGCACATTCTCAATATTATCTTTTCATAATTTTTTTCATTTCCAATACAACTTGTAATCTTTAAAACTGATACCCAAGTGAAAAGGAAAAAAGGAATTGTTGTACACACAGATGGGTAAACTGAGACTTTGCTAATGCATGATAACCAAATTTTCCATTTAATCACCTAGGTTTCGAAAAGTTTAAGAGACAAGAAAATCATTCTCAACTTAAGAGATTTAGTCCACGATACAGAGCCTTGACAAGAAGAAGATATAAATAAAGGACTACTACTCAAACTCTACAGGAGAAGAGCATGTTGAAATTTAAATGCTGTTATTCAAACCATACCCCCCCACACACAGTCGCACATGCACGCACTAAAATTTGGCTAGAGAATAGCCCAAGCAAGAACATAAACACATATACAGAAGAAGAACAAAGAGAATCAGTATCTCAAGACTCCTAGACGATCTAACTTGCAATTCCCTTTGCTAAATTCACTAAGCAACTTACCGATAACCTATCAAACAAGCATCATTTAAACTAAAAAAAGGAAAGATGTATCATCTACCCCCTCAGAGTATAATCCTTAATGCTCAAACATATCCAAAAGTACTTATTGATAATTATAAAATAACAAATTTTAAGCAACTTCGTAAAAAGATCACTAAGGTCTAAGTTCTGAGTTCCTAAGGGCATGAGTTCCTACGCATTTTTTAACATCCAGTCCATATATAATTCAGGGAGGTTGCTCCTAAGATGAAATTAATGACTAGATACAAAAAATGATCATATCAAATTGGCCTAAGTATAGACAAGGCTTCAACAAGGGGTGGATGATGTACATCTTTGGCACGGAAGCCTGACTCAGGCTAACCTCGCACAGATAACAAACTAGAACCTACCGACCAAAAGAACCAAGTCATGTTCGCGAAAACATTAGAACGCAAAAATGGGCATTTACACGTTTCAAAGAAACATCATAACAAAAAAATGTTCAAGAGAATCAACTGGGATGTGCCTTTGAAGGACCACATTAAACAATAAACCTATGGTAAGATAAGAGCGACAGGAATCAGAGAGACAGAGAGACCATACCACCAGGATTCAGAATTAGCCCTCCAAATCCTCCGATTCCAGGAGCTATCTTTTTAACCCGTCTCACTAGCTCTGCCCCTACATCAATGTCAACTCCAGCATCCTTGTATGTAAGTCCATCAGTGACATCATTTCGATTAACTTCATCCCGATCAGTATCGTCCCGATTAGCTTCATCACGAACTACTTTCCATTACAGCAACCGTTCTACTCCCTCTAACTCCACAATAAAATTTCGAACATGCCCCAGAAGGTGGCACGAAACATTTCTGTGAGAGGCAATAACCAGACTTCATCATGGATGCATTTGAATTCTTGATGTAGAATTTCGGCCAGGGGAAGCAGCCACAGTTGTAATGGACTTCAATAGTTTCAAAGTTGCTCCACATGATGTAGGCATGTCAGTTTCAGAAGCAAAAGCACAAAGCTTTTGCAAAATCGAAAGCCCCCAAATAACAAAAATTTGTTAAGGATCAGTAAATAAATGACAATTCAAACACAGTTCAACATGACTGGCCATTATCAATCATAAAGAGTAGTTTTAAAACTATCATGAAAGGGGAACGTCACAGAACAATTTGTACTAGTGCAGAAAAGGTTATGAATAGAAAGAGACTGATCCGAAGATTAAAGGGATGCTCAGAAAATGCGGCGCCGCTCAGGTAAGTAGGAAAAATCAGGTCGATCGGTGGAGTTCTCCGGCAATGCTGAGCCGCTTATGCAGTGACAAGAGAAGGAAACCCGAAAGAGGCAAAGGAAAATTTGAAGCTGAATATAAATTACGATTTGTGTGGTATTACAATTGTTTTGCTGACGTGTAGCTATTTCCTTAATCCGAATACCGCCAAAACTATCAAGTAAATTATGGTAACTTACATTAACTAATGGTAAATAGTAAATTGAAATTAAAGGCACTCCTTTTTAATCATCAAATCAAAGACTAATTTCAGCGGTTACTATACTACTTCCTCTGTCCTATAATTATTGTCCAGTTTTATTAAAATGAAAAATTTTATTTTTGGTCAAACTTAACTATATTTTACCTTAAACAACCGGATATACCCCTACATAAGTAATTGTTTAACCACTAAGATTTCATGGATAATGTTTTTTACTAAGGACAAATGTGTAACTTGATCCATAAAAAGTCAAATTGGACAATAATTATGGGACGGAGGGAGTATCAAATAACAAAAACATCCACGATCAGATCCAACTTGATCCACGATCTCAAATAACAAAAAATGAGTTAAAAAAGATAGGGTGAAAATTATGTGACATTAATTAATATTATTATAATTTAAATTTCCTTTAGTTTGAATATATGAATAAGGTTTTATTTAGATTTTTTTCTTATAATTTTACCGATGAGATTTTGATTTTTTTTTTTAATGAAATTTACATTAGAATGATTGAGTTTGAATATAAAAGAAATGTCTTACTCTTTTTTTTTTGTAATTTTAGTCATGAAATTTTAATATATATTTTTCTAACAAGATTGAGTTTAGAGTGATTGAGTTTGAATGTGAAAAGAATGTTCAATTTTGATTTTGTTTTTTTAATTTTACCCATGAATTTCAATAATTTTTTTAATCATAAATGGCGTTTTTTTTTTTTGTGGCGAGAAAATATTGATTTGAGCGTAATGAATAATTAAAATTTCTCCTTGACTTTCGGATGAGATGATCTTTGTATGCATTTGTAATAGAAACTTATTTTTATGCATATAATTAAAAAAAAAAATCAAACTGACGTAGTATTGATTAAAAATGTTTTGGAGGGAAAAATTAAAATCACAATGCGACACCTCAATATTTTTTTTTTCTTTTGCAGTTCTCTTTTAATAGGATAATAATATATATATATTGATTGCATAAATTAATAATAATACTATTATTTTTATTATATCAAGGTTGCATAAGATCTTAATGACTACATATTTCAGTATTTAGAATGCAGATTCAAAATACTATTATTTTATATATTGATTCTTCTGAAATTGAGCAGAAGTTTTATTATCCTTTTTTTCAATCTTCAGATTTTGATTTTTTATCAAACGATACAAATTTAATCAGTTCAGCGCTTATGTTTCAGTCTTCAAACTTGAGCCTTCGAACTGAAACATGAGGTATAAAGTTCTAACAAATAGGGGTGTATAAAGTTTAATAAGAAACCTCTTCCACAGAATAATAAACATGGCTTTATTCATTTACCGAAACTTTTACTATCCTCTTTATTTTTAAAAAATAATTTATATTGAATTTTCAAATTTATACTGTTTTTTATACAAATTTAAAATTTTAACGTAAACTATTTTTTTTTTGGGATAAATATAATGTTTTATTAGTTTCCCAAAAAGGTTAGTTCACTAGTTCGTAATAATTCTACGATTGTTGTTTTCTTAAGTTTATCTAACGATTGTTGTTTAGAGTTATGGTTAGGATTGGAAATAAAACGTAGTGACAACTATCATGCTTCCCAATGGTTGAGTCTATTTTTAACTTCTCAATGTTTGAGTCTATCTTTTTACTTTGTAACTTTTATTTCAATAATATTTATGTATTTTTGCATTTTTTTATACAATATATTTTTTTTTGGAGAGTTTGATCCGATTGGAATAAGATCATTATCAACTATTTTAATCATATGTTATCAAATGAGAAATGGTGACATGTTTATTGCAAATACATCTCATGCATCTAATATGACTCTAATGCATTTAACATATTATTAGTAGTATCTCCTTGCATTTTTCGTTACACATTTTAAAAATAGATTAAAAAAGACAATCAAAGGGCTATAAGTTAATTATAATCCTTCAAAGTGAGCCTTAAGTTATTTTTTTAGTAAAAAGACTCGGTTTGAAAAGATCTCTTTTCAATGATAGCAAGTAAAATGTGAAAGCCACTAATTATAGACCAAAATAATATCAAGTTAGGATAGGAGATAAAGTGTAGTGGTAACTATCATGGATTAGTGGAAGATAACTTTCCAATATGTTTGAGTCTATTTTTAATTTCTCAGTGTTTGAGTCTATTTTTTTACTTCGTAACTTTTATTTCAATATAATAGTAAGAACAACAAAACATTTTTTTAAAAAAAATTTGTTACACTTTCTAAAAATTCGATTAAATACGGATAATCATAGGGCTAAGTTAATCCTTAATCCTTCAAAGTAAGGCTTAAGTTAATTTTTTTCGATGAAAAAACTAGGTTTGGAAAGATCTCTTCAAAGATAGCAAGTAAAAATGTGAAACCCACTAATTATAAACCAAATAATATCAAATTACTCTAATAAAATGTTTCTTTTCAAAAGGAGGACTAACAACTTCATATATTCTGAAAATAATAACGACAATTAATTTGATTAGACCCCAATATTTTCCATCCTGATCATCAATTTGATTTTATTCACAAAGTAAGAAATAAATAAGGCCAAAGAGGAAAAAAAGAAGGAAAAGTGGAAAAAAAAAATAAAAAAGGGAAAAATACAAACCCTGGACTCGAGACTCTTTTTTCCCTCCTTCTTTCTCCGTTTTTCCCCTTTACCAATCTCTTAGAAACCGCAAAAACCAAACAAAAACAAACGATACCCAAATCACAACGGCCTTTGCCAGTTTGCCTCAGCAGCAGCCAGTCCAGTACCGCTTTGTTGTTTTCTAGCGTTAAATCCCCTTCTTTTCCCTCCACCAGAAGCCAATCTACAGAACTCCGATTACATGATGCTTGGATTTTTTTCAGATTGGAATTCTCCCCAACCTTCGAGTTATTATTTTTAATTTAATTTCATATTTTTCCCGCACAAACCCCAGTTATCGCTTTACTCCGTCGTTATTTACCTTGGTGGCTGTGATTATTCGCTCAATTATTCGATTTTATAGAAAACCCAGGATTTTCTTTCTTGTTTCTCATCTGGGTCGACTTTGGAATTTGGAATTAGTTTTTCTCCGTAATTTTTTTTTTTTTGGGTGGATTTTTGCGTAGGTTTGGTCTTAGGACTTTTTGACGTTTTTTTTTTTCTTCTTTTTGGTTCTCGAAATCTGTTTGCTGGGTTCTTACTCGGGTTTCCCTCTGATTATAGCGAATTCATTTATTTTGGGCTTGCTTTGCACTATTGATACGTGCTATTGTGTTTGGACCTAGAATTTCCTTTCCTGATTTAGATACAGAATTCTTTTATGGTTTGTGAATGGCGATGGTGAATACTCAGGAGGATGGGGAGAGAAACCCATCAACAGTTTCTAGAGGTGGGAATGGAGGAGGAGGTGGGGCGACCAGGTCATGGGGAACAACAGTTTCTGGTCAATCTGTGTCAACTAGTGGCAGCATTGGGTCTCCCTCCAGCCGGAGTGAGGCAGCAATGCCAACTCCAGCGAGCGAGAGTACTTTCATTCGGTTAAACAATCTTGATATCCAGGGTGATGAGGCTGAGGCAGAGGCTGAGGTTGAGGCTGAGGCTGGATCTCAGGGGGCTGCTGGGTGAGCTTTTTCAACCCTGTCTTCCTTATAAATTCCTGATTGAAATTGATTGGATGCTTTTGTCTGTTTTTGAAACTAATTTGGATGTCATTAGTTGTGCTGAGAGTCATTTGAGCGCTTGTTAAATCTGAGTGATGGAAAGGTTCAAGTCGATTATTGTGATGAAATACTCGGTTGAACTGAATACATTGTTCCTTGAAATGTGTCTTGTCTATGATCATTTTGTCAGTTGTAATATATGTTTTTGTTAAGTGTGTTTCTGGTGAGTTGTGGCTTTGAATTATCTGGTTTTTCTTCTGTTTTGTCCAAAATTAGAGGAATGAACCATGGTATTCAAATAATCTGATTATGACAGAAATTTATGAATCTTGTACACAGGTTCTGTTTTAGAGAATGACATGTGTTGTGTAATGTCTGGCTCTTTTTTTCTTTTGCTAGTTTTAGGGTATAAGTCATTCTCACGTTTGGTTTATGAATCAGTAACAAGAAGAAGAAGAGAGGTCAACGTGCAGTTCCTGGGGACAAGACTGGTAGAGGGCTTCGACAGTTTAGCATGAAAGGTTTCTGTTTTTAATTTTTACTTTGTTTCTCCTTCCCCTAGGTCCACATATTGGACCATATTATAATTTATGACAGATCAAATAGTTTTAATTATGAAGCTTCTGTCGCGATTGCATTTATTGGCTATTTAATTTTAATTAATCCTCATTGATATTTTCCTATCACTCTTGTAGTTTGCGAGAAAGTAGAAAGCAAAGGGAGGACAACTTACAATGAGGTCAGTAGCCATCTTTTAATCTTTTCTCATAGTCCAATGGGATTGCTGATCTGCGCCTTTGAAAACATTTATCTTGTATATTCTGTTTAAACATGTTACGATATTATTTACTGTGATCCAGTTGGCACTAATGTTGTTGATGAATATGTGGCTTTTGCATTGTTTTGGTAGTAGTGGTTTAGTTAATATGCTGCTTTACACCTTTCAGAAAAAAACCTTTAAGGAAATTACTTTCCTTGATCCTAGTGGCACCACTTTTATTGACAGAAGTGTGGCTTTTGGATTGTTAGTGTTGCACATATTTTCTTTTGGAATCAAGTTTGCTGTTTGTTGCCTATTTGTCCATTGTGTAAATGCATAGATGAATCTCAATGACTTGGGAAAATTCAAGTGCTTTATCCATTTGTGATTTGGATGCCAGAAATTTGTGCAAATGTCATATTTATGTAGTTCCCTTCATCGGTTTTCCATGTCAAATGGAAATGCATTTGGTATTGGGAGTAATAAAAATTTTCAGCACTTCCAACCATTCCCCGGGGTAGCCTTCATGTTTTGGGAGTTTATTTTCAGTGTTCAGTTTGAAGTTTCTTCTTGTATCTTGTCCTCTCTGTTTTAGAAGCCAATGTTTATGTTTTTGTGCACGTGTCTTTCTTTAGATGTTTTTGTTGATCTGTTTGTTTTGGACCGATTTCTGATGTCTCGAAACTCTTATTTATACTCTCAACTTTTATACTACACTTTTCTGGTTTCCTTCTCTTCAGTTGTCTCCATTCGTATAATATGTTGGGTTGTTTCTGTTATTATCTGGGGAGAACGGTAATTTCAATGTTTCTATTGGTAACTTTGACTACTTCCTGTAGAGATTACCATAAGCTGGTGGACAACATTTTGTACTCATTCAAATGTGATCATGATATAGGCCAAAGCTCGAGATGCAATATGTTATGATGATGGAGGAGTCGTTTATAGTTTGTTTATGGGGAAGAATCTGCTCTCAAGAAATAAAACTTACTAGTATTCTTTCTTAGTGATCTATGTTGTATCGTCGTAAAACAGCATCTACATTTGAGAACCACCTATAGGATTGTTGGTCTTATTATGTTTGTATCTTTGAAATTGTAAATGTATGTTTACATGAAGTTAAAATAGAAGTCAGAAGCAGTTTGCTTTTGCTGAAGGAAAGCCAGCATTTTCTTTTATGCGAGTGTTTCGCAAACTGTGTAGCATGCACCTTCTAGTGATCATATATTCTGGGGTGTCTCTTTGTGGCTGGGTGACATTTTTCATTCTTGGGCAATTAGAATCTCCGGAAAATATATACGCTGTTGATTTGCAATGCTTTGTGGTTATATGGCCTTTGGTTGTGTTCTGATCCTATATTCTTTGCGGCTACTTTTTGAATAATTAATTTAATATAAAAATGACAGTTAATATGTTCTCTTCCAGGTTGCCGATGAACTTGTAGCTGAGTTTGCAGATCCTGGCAATGGTGTTGCTACTCCAGATCAGGTTGTAAGATTTTTCTATCTTACTGTGTTTGGGTTGGGCACCAATACTGGGGCCAATATTGATAGCTTAGTTTTCGATTTTAATATGTCTTTGCATGTGTGACAGCAACAATATGATGAGAAAAACATTCGGCGTAGAGTTTATGATGCTCTGAATGTTCTTATGGCAATGGACATAATTTCGAAAGATAAGAAGGAAATACAGTGGAAGGGTCTTCCACGTACAAGCTTGAATGATATAGAAGAGTTGAAGGTTGGATATCTGTTTTCTCATTATCGGCTTTGCTGCATAGGCATTGTCTCTTTAGGCTGATGCAACTTTAATAATGCAGAATGAGCGACTTGGGCTAAGGAGTAGGATTGATAAAAAAGCAGCTTACTTGGAAGAACTGGAAGAGCAAGTATGATTTTATTTTAGATTCGAGTAGTTTGGTTGATTCTCCATGTTTTATCAGAATTTTAATTACTCTTACTTATTACTTTTGCTTTCTCTCTGTTCTCGTGAAGTACATAGGTCTTCAGAACCTCATACAGAGGAATGAACGTTTGTATGGATCAGGAAATGCTCCCAGTGGTGGTGTAGCTCTACCTTTTATTTTAGTGCAGGTAGGCTCCCGTAACAATTTGTTTCTCAACTATGGAATTGTTTCCTGATTTGGTTATATGCTATTCAAATGTTATAATTTATTACCAACAATGCGCAGAAGCTACTGTTTATAACTTGGTCGATTGGTGTGGGGGAGTTGTATGTCGGAGTTGGTTTCTTAAGCTGTACAAAACTTTTCCTTCCATGCTTTTCAAAGTTGTTTGGCTGGAGATTTGTACAAATTGTTTGGTATATAAAGTAAGCTCGGAATCTACTAACAGAATAAAAATGTTTATGAAGTACTTTTGAAGTAGGGTCGATATGGTATGAATTATCTTTGGAAAAAAATGGCGGTTTTAAGGTTCAAATTGTTTCTTGAAAAGGCCATCAGATTGGCCTCTTCTCAGATTGGCCCTTTCAGCTGAGACCATCAGATTGGCCCTTTCTCAGTTCAGAGTTCTATTTGGATGAGAATACTCTAGCTGAATTTACTTCTGCTGTGTGTGGAGTATAATTTTTGAAAGAGAACATAGATATGGTGAATCACCTAATTCTGTAATTCTATAAGGTAAATATCTCATGTCAACATAAGCAGCATCTTGAATGCGTATTCTGTAGAAAAATAAAGAAACTTCAGAACTTTGTTATTTAAACTGTTCGCTTCGGGATTACATTTTGGGAAGAATTCCTAATCCTTGCAGGTTTAAAACAAGCTTCTTTGGTAAACCAAATAGAGCTGTGCCACAGTATTCCATTGTTGAGTTTGGACTGTCAGAATCAATAATGACCAAAACCACTGTCCAACTCAAATCCAGAACAATGAAAGAGAGGGTCTCACTGACTAAAACCATAGAGAAAGATAATATTATGAATATTGCAATGTTAGGAGAAAGTAAGAAACCCCTTTCTTCCCAGTGAGGCAAAGAAGGATGCTCTGTTGGTGTAGTTGATTGGAGTTTCTTGTTTGCTATTTGGATTGCCATTGCTCATGTATGTTTGTTTGGCTTTTCTATTTGTTTTTGTTTTTTGTTTTTTTTTGTTTTCTATTTCTCTTTTTCAGAAGTGTTCTTTAGTAGTGATAAGAATTTTGTGGGAATTTTTTCCTCCTGAGAAATTATGTTAATATAAGGAAACATTTTTAAAACGTGAAAGAGATAGGTTGTTTGGATGTTATTTCTTTAAAGAAAAGTCAACCTTTTCGAAAAATGAAAACGAACATTGGCTTGATCTCATATTGTAAACAGGCAGCAATTAGGATGTGTTGTATGTTTTACAAGTGCATGTTGATAATCTCACGTTGTACAAAGTAATGTTTTTGGTTTCGATGGTAATACAGCAGCAACATACCCAGTATATTCTAAACCAAGTTGGGGTCTGGGGGGTCAGTTGAACGCAGCCTTATGTACAACATTACAAAATATTACTACGCTACAAAATATGTGCACATAAGCTCTTTATCTTACTTTGGAGATAGGCTTGAAAATCAAGAATTTGCTGGAATGACTACGTGAAGTGATTGTCCTGGCATCTCTTTTAAATTTGGTGGCATTTTAGCATAATGCTTACGCCTAACGCCTATCCCAGTATCTCCTTTAAAAGATTTCATCTGACTATTTATCGTCTTTGAGGCAGAAGTCTTCCAATGAGCTTGATGTTGTGCCTTCTGGATTTTCACTGGAAATTTGTGCATTATGAACCTTGGCCTCAACCCTCTGTCTCATTCCCCTTGTTTGGAACAATGTTTTGTGCAATCTCTTTTGCTTTTTCCTGAAAAAGTATTTAACAGCAAAATCTTAGCTAGGAATTAGGATGATATGAATCAGAAGCAAAGTGGTTATACTTAATAAACTAAACAGCTTGCACTGTGGATCTCTGCAAAGGATACCTCTTGGAGATTTGATTTTTTTCCTTCAGTTTCACTTCAGCTTGGGAATTCCATCTGGCATTATGTATTTTTTCATGCATGCATAACCGCCTTTACTTCATGGGATTGTAGACTCGTCCACATGCCACGGTCGAGGTGGAAATATCAGAAGACATGCAGCTGGTGCACTTTGATTTCAACAGGTACTTTAATGAAGCATCTTATTTCGACTATGAATTGCATTATGTTGGCCTTGATCGGTGGCTTTAAAGGGGTTTAAGTTCTTTACACTTGCTCATAATTTAAATTGTACAACAAGAATAGCTCCTAAATCGATCTAATACTTTGAGTACATTTTCAGTGAACAATCTACCTACCTCTGGTTCTGTAACCTCTTTGTTTTAATTTTCTTTGCAATTGCAGTACTCCGTTTGAGCTACATGATGATAATTATGTACTGAAGGCAATGAAATTTTGCGAGAGGCCACAGGCTGACATTGTGGCACAAAATGTTTCATCAGATGGAGGTGAAAGTTCCATCGCCAATATGTTCCAACCTCAGCTCCCACTCCCCCAACCACCCGTGCAGATGCCTGTGCCTGTGGCTGTGCCTGCGCCTGTGCCTATGCCTATGCCTAACGTTTCATCTAGGCCCCCGCCCAGTTCGCCTCCCCGCCCAGGAATAATCAAAGCACGCGTCAAACACGAGCATTAGTTGGCGAAACTTTGAGCTTTCTCGTGTCTCTTGCCGTCTGTATAGTTTAGCACATATAGCCAGATGCGGGTTGGTTTTCTGTGACCTACATACGTCCTTGTAGCGTCTTTGGCTCCACAAAGGAAGAGAATGTAGAGGTTGGTGTTGTTTAAGATTATGGTAAATGGTAATTATCAGGTTCAGGCTCTGCCTCTGGGATCAGTTATAGGCATTTGGCACAGATCAGTAGCATCGTAGAATCGATATGGTAGTAAAACATTTATCTCAAAATGTGGATCGTTGTAGCTGACTTTCGTAGTAGTGAATACGATTTATTGAATTTATTTGGAAATATTGGGAAGTCCGTTCTTGCATTGTCTTCGACATTTCATAAGGTTGATGATTGGTGAATCATTTTGTCGGCGGTGTATAACATATTTTGCCACTTTGATGTGTATCATTCGTAGCTAAATTTTTATAAATATGGTACTCGTGAGATATCGATAGATAAGTATCTTAGGACAAGATATTTGCTACTTGCTTCCTATGCACAGAAGCTAACATCGCACTCTGGTAGTATGATACTCCCTATGTCCGGACATTTCTGTAGAGCTGTATAGGCAATGCCCCCACTCCTGCAATTAATGAGAGAAAATGATAATAATTTATTGAGAATAAAATGGCTAAATGTGAACGATAGAACTTAAAACCTAAGTGTTGTGTAGCAGTTTGATTTCTATATTCATCCACCCCTTTTCAGTTGTTTATAAATCAATAGCTTATAAATAGATCTGGAAGAATATATTGTAATTGTGAGTGACTGAGTGCGATGCTAGAATAAAGAAAAATGTAGTACTAATTTTCAAATGGAAAATCAAAGCTACATTTGTATACATGAGCAATGTAAGAACTAGTCTAAGTAGAATAATTTTTTGGAAAGAAGATATGGAATGTAAGAATTAGTTTGAGTTAATGAAATTTTTGGAAAGACCATAAGGTATCACATTCAATAAATTCTTCCATGCAGGGTCGCACAATCATATGTGATGCATCTTAACGCATTAAAAATGACAATATTGTAATTTTATTAGTTGTAATCAGTGACGGAATCGCCGATCAAATTTGGGGGTTAATTATACATTTATGATCGAGATAGGTGGTCAAAAATATATAACAGAAGATTAAAAATGACTACTTCTAAAAGGTTTTCCGGCAAGTTGGGGGCTCGGTATCCCCCGAGCCTCTGACTGTGATATGCTAAAAAAAATAAGGAATCATAAAACTAATTTAAATTCCTATTGGCTTGGTGCACATAAAATACGATCACATCAAGTACTTTCATTATTTTCTCATTACATTCGGTTTAGAATAACTGTTTTATACCAGCAAATTAAAATAACAAGGCTTGTTATGATATGGAGGGAGTTTTTTTTTTTTTTTTTTAATTTGACAAGGAGCAAACATTTCCATAAAAATAAAATTCCATATCGAGATGTTTTTAGCATGTCAAATTTTTCATATCTGACCAAACGACAAAATATTAAACTCCCAAGATTAAGATAAGCTGGTGGACATTTATTGTAAGATGACATCATCGTCCTATGTAGAGTATGATGTCATAATCGGAGGCCTGTTCGGCTCCCTCTTTGCCACGTCTGATAGTCTTAGGTTGATAAATCTGCTGGAGCGTTAGCGCGTGATCACATTTTGATAAAATATGGCATGAAACCGAATCGCCATCCATCAACAGAAAACAGAGACAAATAAATGTTGTAGGGGAATTTTTTTTTTAATCCCTTTTACCCTATTAAAGTAGAAAACAAGATGCTGATGTGGCAATTTCTTATTAAAAGGTTTTGACTCCAAATGCACCATATTGCATAAACCATTCTGCCACGTGTCACCCTCTTTTAAAAACAAAAAATATATTTACAATATTAACAAAAATATCAGATGTCCATGTTCATTCAAATTTTGAATTTGACAGTGAATGGAACTTTCCTTCTCCACTTATTTTGGATTTTTGAAAAAATTAATTTTCGACCAATCAATTATCTTTATTAAAAACTAAATTCATTCCTAATCAGTTTTGATTATTTACATATTAATTTATTAGGTGGAAGGACGCACCCGGACATTTATTCATTTCTAATCAGTTTTAATTATTTACATATTAATTTATTAGATGGGAGGACGCCCCCGGGCATTTGCCCGGGGCAAACATCTAGTTGAGATTAAGGGACAATGTGGTGTCTCTTTGCCCTAGATTAGTACTATATTGACATATAATTATTAGTAAGTAGAAAACCAAATTACAATTACTAGTATCAAATTCAAGATTTTTCTTGTTATTGCCCTACGGCAAATAATAATGACTCATAATATAAGAATTAAAACGTCCAATGTAACGGTTGGACGTTTTTATTTTATTTTAACCAGCAATGATAAAAACAGTAAAAATAAATAATACCAAAAAAAAGATAATGACTCATAATATAAGAATTAAAACATCAAATCCTTTCTCTCGATAATTATCAACTTTATGAGGATAGTTAAATATTTTTACTTATATTATTTTTACTATCTATTTTACAACAAGTTAGAGGCAAAAAAAAAAGAAGGAAAAAATAATAATAATATGAAAGCATCGAAAGTAACATTTTTTTTTATGTAATCAGCATCTTTATGCTCAACAAATTACTGTATGTAATTTAAATAAATTTGTTAAGCTTATTTCTATCATTGTACGGAGAAAAAACTAGTCGATCGACCCCAAACCCATAAACCATAATGGATTGTCATTTTCATGTTAAAGATATATGAACACGCGCTCTTTGGGAGCAAGGGGATTGTTGTTGAATCATCAATGATTTTTGTCTCTATCTATTTTTTCCACAAATTTCTAAAAATCTTTATGAGCTCCCTTTTTTTAATTTTATTTTTCTGATTACACATTAATTTCTGTCTACCCCTCCCAACACCTCAGCTTCATATCATATCCTTTCCTTCCCTTTAAAGTTTAAACCTTTTCTTTCTTTCTTTCTTCCATCAACAAAACCTCCATATCCATAAGTATATGTATAAGAGAAGAGAAAAAACCCTATTCAGCTTTGAATCTTTCCAAATTCAGAAAAGAAATATGGAAACAACAATGCTCAGTATAAACCCTAAAAAGAGAATGAAACAGCACCCCAAAAACTATAAGAAAACAACCCCAAAACCAGCTGTGAAGGTTGTTTACATTTCCAACCCTATGAGAGTGAAGACTAGCGCTTCACAATTTAGGGCTCTGGTGCAAGCACTCACCGGCCAGGACGCCGCCGATATACCGGACCCCACCAAGTTTTCCGGCGTAGAAACTGGCGGCGGCAGCCCGGAGGCGGAGGAGGTTTCTGCTGGAGAATCATCAAAGTCGGTGGTGGAGGAGGAGGAGGAGGAAGAAGAAGAGGAAGAGGAAGTTGATGATCAACCGCCGATCAAAGCTTCATCACCGCCACAAGTACTACAGTACGATGATGATGATGTGTTTAAAGTACCGGAAATGATTGAGAATTTTCCAGGATTAGTTGCTTCTAATTTGTGGCATGAATCTCAACAGTTTGATGACTTTATCTCCAGAAATCTTAATTTCATCTAATTTATAGTAAATTTAGTAATTTGACTAAAGTAAAACAGTTTACCGTGTTCATATCCTCACTGGGTGAAAATAGTTAATGTAACCTAGTCAAGCTGCTTTGTAGAACCTATTTATGTGTTTTTTGCTTTGTGTATCTCTCTTGGAATACATAGATTTTTTTTTTTTAAATTTTTTATTCCTGTTAAGTGTTCCACAACTTTTTAGACTAAAAATAATGTGAAACGTCTTTTAATTGGCACATAGAGGAGAGTACCCTATAACTAATTCGGGTGAAATATCTCGTTTATTTGCTGATATAATCTTTATTAATTCGTTTGTGTACACTCAATTCTTTTTTGTTCTTTCGGATGCATGTCTTCGCTTTATTTTCATAACATATACTATCTTTTTTTTTTTTTAACACAGTGATCATTGTCGGCAACGTAACTAATCTATTCACTGGTTCTGTTATCCAAGTAGGTAGAATAATTGTGTTAATTTTATTGTTGTACGTAGTTATAAAATTACTAGCTAGGGGGGTAATGTTAGAAAAGCTTAGTAACATTCTAAAATTTATTTGCAAATGGAAGAGAGTTTAAAGAAAGCGGGAAGGAGGAGGTACATAATAGTATTTCTCGTTGAGATAAAAATCATTAGTCACATTGTTTATGAATTGTATGTAAATAGACAAAAGTCTTTTTTTCTCATATACGAAGCACATCATTAATTTACAATCCAATTTTACAATTACTTTCAAATCTCTATCAATTAAATTTATACTACTAAAGTTTTGATGTCTCTTAATTAGACGTGACATTTCGAAAGTGGGGTTCCTATAGAGTCAATTTATTGTTGTTCGTTTGTGTTGTGGAAAAAAAAGGGAAACCAAAATGTATACGTAAATTTTGCCCTATGTGGAATATGATCAATCATTAAGAGCGACCTGGCTACTCTAACCAAATAGCCTGATCTACGTAGCCATCTTTTCTGATGCTAGACCAAATGTGTATGATTGCGAGAGTATACTTGTGTACCTAAATAGTATATTCAGCTAGAATTTTCATCTATTACCAATTTATCAAAGTTCTCCTTTTGGGTGTTAGTTTCACATTAATCGCTGTATCTTTGTATGATAAATTCCTGAGAAGTTTATCATCAGAAGTGGACGAATTTCTTCGTAACAGAAATGAAATATTATTGTTCTTATGTTTCAATTCAAGTACAACGTTTATGGTTTGAGTTTAGACTTTAGGGGTTAATAAGTAACTTTTGTTTTGTTTTTTTTTTTAAAATCTAATTTTGGGGATTTGATCTTTTCATTTTCAATTTTTTTAGTTCTTTATTTTTATTATTTCCCAATTTAAAATTTTACCCTCTTTTATTTATTACGACCTATTCTTCGTATTGCTTTAGATGAACTTCTGATACAGTATTTTCACTTTTATATATTTTGGTTCCTTAATCACAAGCATAGCTTCGAGCTCGGTGCAAAAGCTCCTAGATTCAATAATTTCCACGTTTCCAGCCATATATGTACTCATTAATTTGAAGTATTTTCGTTCAATGAGATAATTAACGGATAATATTTGACCCACGATAGACCCAGCCCAAATTGGAAGAAACCATTTGGTTTGACCAAACATTCTGCTAGTGAGTCGATTGAGGAATTGTACACCGACTTGGATTATGATCATAAATCATGTAAATCTTTGTGTCCAAACCTTCACAATATTAAGATATGATTTCAGTGCATAATTTAATCAATATATTATTTTTCTTAAAATTCTATCTGCTTTAGATATCGGAGTGCTGACCCCAACAAATCATATGTTGTTTGTTGATTTATGCAGATATAGATATTGGTCATTTGTCCACATTGATGTTAGAATTCGACTTCAACATTGACTTTTGAAATTTAGTACTGCATTATAATATTAGTTTATGGTCTTGTTTTATTCTTCAATAATTAACTCTTAATCTGATGATTGTTCATTTCAAAAGATCCTAGTTTACTAATCGCGCTCATTTCATGTTCGGAAACATGCAATTCATTGATTAAATCTTTTTTCTTTTTTCGGAGTTTCTATTGATAAATTCTGATCTATTTGAGATCATATTATTTTTTGCACGTAATTAATTTGTCCATTATAATTTATTTTTATATTTCCTGTTGTGAATTAAAATGATGATTGAACTCAGATTTCAATCTGTCTCTAATTATTACGGTTCAGCAGCACGGTTTCCGGTTGTAATTGTCACCAGACAATTTCTTACAAAATTACTAAATCAAAATAATAATAAAGTAAAACTCTTGATACAAAATTTCAAGACCCTCTACATCTTGCTGTTATTCATGGCAGATGTAGAACCGATTTTTAACAAATCTGGTCCAAATTAGCATGGGCCGATCGCAACATTATTAACGGAAGAAGAATTGGTGAAGAAGCCCGCCGCATCGTTTATCCAAGGGAATATTAGCAAGCAAAGAAGTTGAATCCGAGAAGGAGGCACCAACGCAGCATTCCGTGTCGAACAAGGATTCCAGTTGCAATGAGAGTCCCTATTGGATTCAACTCCGGTTGCAACTCAACTAGGGTTGAAAAAATCACTATAAAAGCTATTGGGAGGCGACGAAAGGGACACAACTCATCATTCAAGAATCAGAATTTCATATTTCCTTTATAGCTTTTATCTTTCGATTTTTCAAGCTTTTCATGTATTCCTTTACTTTTCAATCGTAATTTCTGTAATCATTTAGATGTTTCAGGCTATTCGGAGTCGATTCGTTCTCAATCAAGTTAATAAAACAGGCTCTTGCAAGCCGTTTTATGCATAATTTTTACAAGTCTTCAATACTCTTTGAGTCGTCAATTGAGTGTTAATTCAAGGGCATCAGTCTGTTTGGATCAATTTCAGTGTTTAGACTCTGTATTTCGAGAATATCACACAATCGCTTGAAATTAGTTTGAGCCGAATCGACCTTCACTATATAATACAATTTTGACTCAAACATAAAATTTAGCACGCCCAGTGGGACCGATTTGGGTGTTCTAGGCATTGTTCAAACAGAAAGACGATGACGTTGCTTCAATCGTTAACAACAGCGCATTTGGCGAGACAAGGTTCCATGCCGATTCAGACTTTTGCACTAGGTGGAAGTTCCTTGCCGTTTCCGAACATTTTGGCGGTGGACTCCTATTCAATAGTGATAACAGATCAATACACTGGCATAGGCCGACAATCTAGCCAGCAACAATCAAATGTCGGATCAAGCCTATTCGGAGAAAGATCAAGTTATTTCGGGTCTTACAGGAGCCCAGGGTTTCAGACGCCAGGTTTTTAGAGCCTCTTGTTCCAGGTTCCCGTGTTTCATAGCCAAGCTCAGGCGGATCAAGTCCCGACAATAACTCTTGAAATGGTGCATCAACGATTTTCGGCAATAGAGCATGCTATGGCTGCACAAGTGGAACGTTTTAAAAATGCTTTTCAGAGGTTGATTGACCATAGCACAAATACAGGAGCTGTTGGTCCTAGTGGGTCTTAGCATCAGAAACTGGTACAGCTACGAGAACAACGAATTCAGAGATATCACCGGTTAATATGGTTAACAATCCGCTGTATAATGTCATATTTCAAACATCTGCAGCAGTTACTCCAGTGCAAAATCCTGGAGCAGGGACGAGCAATAACGGTGTCCAAAACATATCAGACGCAGTGTCACAAGAGTTGCAAAGTTGATATTATCCGGTTGTTCTGAGTCGGCCAGCATTTGTTCCACCACCAGGGAATTTTACATTTGATGGACGTCAATTACCTCCATTGTCTCCTCAATACGGAATGCCAATGACAGCAATTGCCTTATTAGGGATTCCAAACACCATGGCCAGTGAGTCTAGGAACTTAACAGGTAGGGACTGCAACAAGTAGTCATGTTGCAAGAAATGCACAAGAGACAAACCAACTTTAGCTGCAGAACATCGCGTTTCAACAGCAGCCTCCACCAAGGTAACATCAGCAAGGGTCAACAATGGTTTAACCTCAGTTAATTGGACAAGAAGGAGCGCCCAGAATAGCATATGGACCATAGGGGACGTTGGAATCAGGTGTACAGAACGTTATCGGTGTTGGGAATGATCAAGGCCTTGTTGGCACATGAAAGAATCAGAGTTTTGTGGTCGAAAATTCAGGGCAAGCTGGTCAGAATGTACAAGGGACCAATGACCGCCGCATTATACTGTATCAAAATCGAGTACCAAGAAATAACAATGCAGCCGCAAATTTGACTGATCTACACATACACCAAGGATCTGGCATTGTGGTTGCTGACCCGTAGATTGTTCCACCTCATTCAACGTTGGAAGAAAATAGAGAAGAGCAACAGCGAATGTAATATGAAGCGAACCAGATTCTGAATAGGAATAGAGCACAGGCTATTGGAAGACATATTGGAAATCAGAATGTGGGAAATAGACACAACCCGCATCAACAACGTTTTTGGGGCCAAGGAGGTGGTCGTCATCGGGTCTATCTGCGGAATGAAGTTCGACAGGAACCAGATGCAACAACAAATGGTAACCAGTAACAAGATTTTGAAGTAGGGGTTGAACAGACTTTAAATGCTGAGGATGCTGTCTCAAAGATGATTGAAGATAGAGTCCATAAGGAATTAGGGACAGAGATTCCGGAGATCCCAGGAAAACCTTATCCGGATTTTGTTGAATGGGAACCATTACCCAGACATTTTAAGATTCCTGATTTCTAACAATTCTCAAGGGATGATGAGAAAAGACCTAAAAACCACATAAGTTTATTTGAATTGCAGTGCGGGTAAGTGAGTAATAATGCTTTAATCAAGCTGCGCTTGTTCCCTTATTCTTTAAAAGGGACTGCTTTTGACTGGTATCGGTCATTAGCACCAGGATCTATTCCTCCATGGCAAACTTAGCAGCGAGAGTTCTTATCATACTTCCGTAGGGATACCGCACAACTATCAATTGTTGATCTTTTAGAGATCTGACAAAAGTTTGGAGAAGCTGCGGAAGCTTATTTGATACGGTTTCGTCAAATGTGTGTTAAGATTCCTGATAAATATGATGAACCAACTATTGTTAAGATGACGATTGCAGGAACTCAGGATTACAAGGTCAAGTTAGCTATTGCATCGCATTCTGTTCGATCCTTGAATCATTTGGCGGATACTGTAAGAAGGTGTGAGAAGGTTATTAAAGATAAAAGGGAGAAGAACCCAGGAAAGTCAAACCCATGGTTCAACAAAATTCCGGTAGTAGAAGTGAATCAGAGTCATTGGGTTCATGATGAGGACGACGATGAGTATGATGTTAATGCCGGTGAAATTGTTAATGTACGTAACTACACATGTGACGCATTACCTCGACCCACAGTTCCACATTCCTATAACACTCTTCCACCAGTTGGTGCACCAGCAGGGACCCCAGGACAGGCTGACAGAGCTAATGTTGGTAGAGTTTATTCCTTCGACATTTCACAACAAGAAGCTATTTTCGACGATATTTTTCAGAAGGGTCACATTCATTATAGAAAAGGTTATAGACAACCAAAGCCAGCAGATTTGGTGGGAAAAACTTATTGTAAGTATCACATGTCATGGACTCACACAATAAATGATTGTGTGGTATTCCGCAATAAGCTTCAAAAGATGATAGATGACAGAAATGTAATAGTAGAAGATCCAGTTGAAATGAATACTAATCTTTTCCCGCCACAGCACCAAGTCCGAATGGTTGATGTGGGATTTGGGGGTCAAGCTTCTGACACATCTAGTCACTGGTTGTGAAGATTGTGATACGGTCTTTAATAAGGTAAAACGGCAGCTTCATGATCTCATATCTAAATTTGGAGGGCATTTGCATCGACAGAATACACGTCCAGCTGCAACAGAAGTGAATATAGTCATAAACGGGCAAACTCAGACCTGGGTGTAGAAAGAAACACGTTTGGATCCAGAGCAACAAAAGCTAAGGGCTGTATGATAGAGTCCATAAATTGTGTTTTAATTGTTGATATTTTATTAGTTTATGGACTCGGATGGATTTAATTCATTAGTTTTGTTATTATTTCATGTTAGGAGCTGGAAATAAGAGATTGGAGCTGATTTGGATTAATTTGGACGTCCAAGGACTGAAATACAAAATTGAAGAAGTTTTGGGGCAAAAGTAAAAATACTACAAACTTGAGGGACCAAAGATGCAAATCGTGGAATAATTGCTGTTTTCCTGCGGCTGACCTAAATTTCTATTATAAAAAGAATTTGAGTGATGTTTTGTGGGCAGCCGTGTGTGTAGCCATAGGCTAGCACCTCCCACCTCTTGTTTTTCCCGAATTTTCATTGTTTTCCATGGAGAATCGCACCGTCATACTTCCAACTATGAGTGGCTAAGTTTTCTTTTCTGATTCAAGGGATTTATTCAGTTATTCCATTATGAGGTTTTGTTCTTAATTATTGTTCTTGCCTATGATTTAAGTATTTGTTGATTCTTGTCTTTATTTATGAAAGTAGATATCATTCAAATTGACAACTTGATTTGTTATTTATTTTCTAGTGCTATCTGCTAGTTGAATGTTACGTAATAGACAAGAACTAGAAGTACTGAGTAGCAATTAGACAAAGCATGTGTATTGGTGAGACATTGAATATGCATGTTAGTTTAAATGTGGAATCAATGAGTCAAAGTCTGAATAGTTGTAGCTATCTCAATTGTTTAGATTTTGGTTCAACTATATTTCCTTGGTTTTTATGCTATCATTGTTTGGTATGAAACGCTATCGTGCCCAGCCGAATTATGATAAGGATTAATTGAGTGCTAGGCTTGGTTAGTTAATTTAGGGAGATTAATTGATTTATTACGGCTATCCTAATAGATCTTTGGTTGAATGCTTAAATTGCAAGAGTAGTTTTAGTAGCCTATGATTAATGAAATAATTGAGTTATCCGTTCCTTGAGTCAGAAGTCTGTTACTTTGATTTCTTTTCTTTTATTTAGTTTTCGTTATTTGTACTTCATTATCTTAGTTTAGAAAAACAATCCAAAAATCTCCTTTGCATTAATTTGAAGGAAACAATCCATCGTTCCCTGAGGAGACGACCTTACTTCCCTATATTACAGTAGTTTGAAGTAGGTTATTTTATTTGTGTGGCTTGACACCCCATCAAATTGGCGCCGTTGCCGGGGAACGGTGTTAATTGATTTGTTTTCTTTAAATTTTTGTTTTGTTTTATTTTAGTTTTATTTTTATTTATTTTTATTTTTTTTTCTTTTGCAATGGACTATTATGCACATCAATCTTGGAACCGACGAGATGACCATTGGAATAAAAATGAGGTAAGTTCTTTGTATCTTGAGCAACAATTATTTGAACTAACGTCTCTTGTGAAAAATATGGCTATAGGTCAACAGAAACAAGTCCAAAGATGCGGTATTTGTTTAATGACTGGTCATACTAGAGACTTTTGTCCAAGATTACCATACTACCAGTGGGAGGGTCAGAATGCCATGAGAGAATCTTGGAGACCGCCACAAGAAAGATACAAACCTCGTTCATATTCATATGATACAGGCTGGCAGGATTATCAGAATTTCAACTATGAGTATCACCATCTCACCACAAGTGTATCATGTTCCGAACCTCCACAGTCTCAAAGCTCAGTTTGTCTTTAGATGAGATTGTTAACGCTTTGGCAACTAATACTCTTGAATTTGAACAGGAAACAAGAGCAAGCATACAAGATTTGGGGAGTCGAATTAGCCAGTTAGCTAATGCTATTAGCAAATTCAAAGTCTCAAAGCCTGTGGAATTACCATCTCCATCGGCAGTTAATCCTGTTGAAAGTGTGTGTGCCATGAAAGAAGTGACTCCCACATCTGAGAAGAAGGTAGCAAAGGAAGTTGTTAGAGAAGATCCACGTTACATGATACTTCCTCCATTTCCGAGCAGATTCTCAAGGGCTGAGTTAGAGAGAATGAAATATCCTTTCATAGAACAGGTTTATGGTGTGGAAACTGTACCTACTCAAAATGCAGAAGATTTGAAACATATGAAAGTAGAGAAAAATGAATCAGAGGCATTGGACGACAATGAGATAATTGATCTTTCCATTTTATTTAGTCAAACTAATGCAGCTGATACTTCTTTTTCAGATATGTCAGTAGAGCCAAAGATAGAGGAGCCCAAACAGAAAGTGATGGAGAACTTTTCTAAGAATGAGGTAGTAGTTGGAGAAGATATATCTGGTATGTTACAATCAAAATTTTCTTCCAAATGCAATGATCCAGGTATACTTACTCTACCATGTTCTATTGCTGATATAATTGATGAATGGAAATCTCCAATACTAGAGTCAAAACAACCACCGATATCTCTAGATTGTGCATATGGACATCTTCCTCGACCTCCTGAAATAGGACTAAAGATAGATGTAATTTTAGGAAGACTAGATAGATGTGGAGTGTTTAAAGAAACTGTTAGGGGGGATTATTTTCCACCTCATTTTGCTGATTCTATATCTGCATTTGAATCTGAATCCAGTCCATCTAACTTTGATTTTATTGAAATTTGCTCAGGGTTTTATCATATTCCATTGTTAGGTGGAGTTTCAAAATTTCCACCTTGAGGCGCGTTTAATTGGTCTAGCCAAAGACAATAAAGAAAGGCGCTGTTTGGGAGGCAACCCAAAATGTTTAAGTTTATGTTGTGTTTGATTCAATAGTTAGTTTTGTGATTTGGAGTTGAATTTTAATGTGTGCTTAATGTTTTAAGAAAAATAGTGTTTTGTAAGCATGATCATGGATAGGTGCATTTTAGGTTTGCTGGATTAATTTTTGCAAGTGTTATTTTTTTTTAGGTGTGATTATGCCTAAGAAAGTAAGTGTTTGAATTTTTTTTTTTTAACACTTGTTTTATTGTCCAGGGCAGATTCGAACGACGCCTTAGACGTGATCACGTCTAACATGACATTCCCTATTTCGTTTTTTTTAAAAAAAACCCAAACTATTTTATTTTTATTTTTATTTTTGTTTTTTTTTCCTTTTCTGTTCTTTTCCAGGAACCCTAAATTCCAAAGTTGCAATCGGGCAAACCAAACTTCAATTGGATCATTGGCTAGCTTCTACTGCTATTATCATCGTTCGTCAATTGTTGTTTCGCACCAGCATCACCAAAAACATTTTTCAGGGAAGTGTTGCTCTTCCTTTTTATATCTTTTGCTACATTGCGAACAATGTTTGTTTTAAGTGTGGGGGGAATTTTAGGTGTTCTTGTCTATTTGTGTTTAGTTTTTTTTTTTTTCTTTCTTTTTCATTTATTATTTTCGTGCTTGCTTATATGATAAAAAAAAAAGGGAAAAAAAGAGAAAAAAGTTGAAAAATGAAAAAAAAATCAAGAAAATGAAAAAATACCAAAAATAGCCGATGATGAACTAAACTTGAGACTCTATGAAATCTAATTACATTGGGACAAAAATTTTCTTTTGAGTCTATGCATTATGTGTTATACCTTGAATACTTTACTTGCGCACTTTATTCATAACTCTGGGATAAACTTAACATGTATGTGTAATTGCC